TCTTTACCTTTAATCTGAAACAGCTTATTGAAGATACGGGTTATCTGTTGATCCCTTGCCCCCTCTCACTCCATTGTACTCACTGGGCAAAACCCCAGCTCTGGTTGAATTAGACTCTGTCTACTCTAGCAGGGCACCTATACAGCTGCATGTGGCTGGAGAAAAACACACAGCCATACTGACTGAAATCACTCAAAATTAATGGCCCTTAGTGCTGTCCAACAATCATACTAAAATCCCTCATCCATCCTCTTCTTCCCTTAACAGACTATTTCATACATTCTTCTCTCTTCAACCCTCTGATAATTCCTCCCTATCTTCACTCTCAGCTGAAGACTGTGCCTCAGGTTTCATGTTTCGCTGAGAGTAGAAACAATCAAAAAAGAACGTGGTGCCCATCCAATGTATGCACACTTGATCAAATTTGTTTCTTGTGGTACTCAAATTTTCTATGTCCTGATTATTTCTCTGCATGATCTATTAGTATCTGAGCAAGGGAAGTTTAAAAACACCCACTATAATTATGGATTTGTTAACATCTCCTACAAGTTTTGCTTTATACCTTTTAAAGCTATGTTAGTATTCTCTAGGTTTCAAATTGCTTTATTTTCTTGGTGAATTATGCTTTGATCATCTAATAACAATATTTCTTTATCCCCAATAATGTAAGTTTTAAAATTTCAAAATCTGTTTTGATATTAGTATAATTACACCAATTTCATTTTGGTTAGCATTTGCCTAGTATATCTCATTCCACTAAATTTTCAACCTTTCAGTATTGTTTTAGGTTTTGTCTCTTATAAACCACATATATCTTAAAAAACATTTTTATAATAACTTCTATTGTCTGGATAATTTAAGTACTCACATTTTTTGTGATTACTAATGTAGTTGGACTTATTTCTATCTTCCTGTTTTGTCCTTTACGTTTATTTATTTATTTTTTCACTTCCCTCTCTCCCCAAGCACTCTTTCCCTTTCTTCTCTTGGAGTAATCAAATTTTGATTCCTTGTTTTAAAAATTATATATTCCATTCATATTGCTTTAATGGTAATACTTAAACATGAACTCTTAAAGTATATAGCTCTATCCTCCTCCTTAATGTGTTAACGGCCTTAGAATGCTTTAACCCCAGTCTCCTCCCATTCTTCTGCCATGTTATTATTTTCCAGCATTTAATTATATCTTTTTTAAACTTTCCCCCAAATTAGTCTTTATTATTATTACTCTTTGTTCCATACTCCATGTTTTCATTATTCCATTCTTCTCATTTTAAATTCCATTCCACTAAATACCAATACTTAGTTACTATCCTGTTCTCTTACTTACCTGCTTTTTATACCAAATAATCTGCAGTTACAGTGAACACTTTTGACTTTTCTTTCTGATCTGCAGTCTCTTCTCACCACTTTGTACTTGACACTTTTATTAATGAGCCTTCAAACACAGCTGATATTGAAAAAAATGTACTAAGTTAGTATTTCTTATCTGGGCCAAAATAAACCTAGAAATTTCCGTTTTTTTAAAGTCAATAAATAATTGAACACACTCCCTAGAGTGTATATTTATACTCTCCATATATATGATATCAAATCTGTTATAGGTCTTTCCTTACTTGCCTTAAAGATTCACATACTACTTAGTAGCAAGTGTGTTTGGCAAGTGATAAGTGGAAAAAGTTCTCCTCTTTCACAGATACAAGAAAAGGAATTAGTCAGCACGTTAGCATATGAACAAACTATTGTCTCTAACAGAAGAATGATCATGGGTTTGACATACTGAACAATTTCTAACAAGTGAAATCAATTAAAAGAGCAAATCAGAAACAGAGCTCAGAGCTGGTACCAGCTGACATTGCAAAATGCCTCATAAACATCTGCACATACCTACAAGAAATGGGGAGATAGCATTAACTTTAGAAACCATTAGTCCAACTCTTTCATTTTTTTTATCATGGTAAAATATGCGTAAGGTAAAACTCATTTATTTTTACAGAGTGGTTAGGTGACCTGCCTAAGACTGCTCAGAAAAGATGAAGAGGCCCCAATGGGTTAGGGATGTACAACTGTGAAGATTAGTTGTTGGGGCAAGATGGGTATGGAGGGGGGTAGGGGGGTAGGGGGGACTGGATTGAAATTCTGCACATGCAGATCATGGGATTTCCCAGCAGAATCATACTTGGAGTCTTCTGATTTACCATAGAGCTTGATGATGTAGCCAGGAAGGGAAAAGACGACAAATATGAGGCCTTCTCACCAACTACCCCCAAAATAAATAAAACTAAAGGCTCAAACCGTTTTTTATCATTAAAATGTTGGAGAGGAAAGTCCAACACTGCAGATTTGCTTTAATGAGAAGGCAGTTCTTGTGCTCTTGAGGGAAGGCAAGACTGGATCAATAGCTGGGTCATTAGGATGGCTCAGAGACTGCAGGAAGTATTTTATCTTAAGGACTTAAGGGTACCTTTCCTGTGCCTGGAGCACCGCTTGCTGCAAAAGGAACAAAACTGGGGAGGTCTCTGTGCTTAAGCATCTCCCTGCATCAGTGGGGAGATACAGTTACATTAATAGACCAGAAAGCAATTAGCAGCTGTATCAGGGCCTTCAGGAAAGGGACATCATGGGCCAGGGTGGTGAGGTAAGGATGTATGGTCTGTGTCCAAGTCTTAACACCACCCCTAGCTCTATTTATTAACTGCCTACTGGGTGCCAGACAACATACTGGGCACTAATTTTTTCTTCATGATACCTCAGTGGAGGAAGGTATTATTATCCCCATTTTACAGATGAGGGCATGGACTCAGAGGTTGAGTTAAGGTTGCATGTCTTTGAAGGCAGAGATAGGGATTCAAACCCAAGTATGACTAAGGAACCAAGCTTCATCAATTTTTTTTACAGCCCCTTCCATCACCATAATGAAGGGAAAGGCCTTTCAACTTGGATTTAAAACTTGTAGGTGTAATAATTATAACATGTTCCAAAGAGAAAGGCAAAATGTAACCACTATTTGCCTGCCTACTCCTTCTTTAGTTCTCAACTCAAATACCATCTCTTCCCGGACTCCTCCCTTATTCCCCAAACTGGGCCAACCTCCCCAAATAAAGACCGCAATCCTTCATGTGCAATTTCAAAAGCCAAAAAGCTCTGAAAATTGTGTTTTTATAAGTTTGCAGCAAGCTCATTTGATGGCAAAAGATGATCTGAACTGATGTGAAACTATTTTAAACCTCTACTTTTCTTATTCAGTAAGAATATTCACATCCTGATGGAAATAATGTGTTTGATTAAGGGGTGCTGCCCACTGCAGTTATTATAAAATATATAATAAATGTGTATTACTTTTCTAAATTCCATACATTTTTGACTTGTGAACCACATCTGGTCCCAAGGATTTCAGACAAGAGATGCTGGACCTATACCTTAGGCATAAATCTCACTGCACTACAGGTATTTATTCTTTGTAAGCCCAGCACCCAACAGAATGCCTTGCATACAATAGGTAGACAATAAATATTTCCTGAATGAGGAAACAAGGCTGAGAAATTGGCTAAGAAGGGAATGGTCAGTGGCTTGGGAGTGACCAGGCCTCCCCACTTGCAGGCCAGGCCTCTAACCATGAAATGACATTTCCTTCTCTGACATGGAGGTCCTATAAATAGATGCTGTTGACTGAAGGCAATCAACATAACTGCTGTCTTCACTAAGAATAAAAATAGTCCAGTGGTCTTACATGATGGGCCCACATATAACTTTAGCCCAGTAATACAAAACAGCAGGGATATTCATACCTTAGACCCTACTGGGAGCCTCAAGTTCTTCTTGAACTTGAGGGGCAGAAGACTGGCTTTTGGGTCTGACCCTACCACATGGAGTAACCTTTTTTGGCCTGCAATTTTCCCATCTGTAAAATAGCATCCAGAGTAAGCCCTCAGGCCCTCGATGGCGGTTCTCTAACGAGGAAACTCATGGGAAGGCAGCCAGCAGCAGTCGCCCCACGCTCCAGAGTGGGATGCAAACCTTAGAAGCTTTTTCACTCCCGTCTACCGCCCTCGCAGTCCAGAGTTCACGGTCCTCATTCAGTGTGCTCTGTCCGACCTACACACACCTCCTCTCTCTCTCAAAAGAAGCAGAGTCAATGCAGAATGACGCATTTTGTACCCAGGGCACCCAGCGGGTTCCTTCTCCCTTCAATCCCAAACAGTGAACCAAACATTCTGTTAAGAGTAGCCGCACAGCCCTTCAGTCTCCCGACTCAGAAAGAGGACGGGGTGGGAATGGTAATCACCGCCCAACAAAGACTCTTAATTGTTAAGTCTCAGAAGACGAGAGACGATTGGATAGGAGAATGAGTGCAGCGAGACAGCAGCTCAGGGTGATCCCTCCTTACCTGGTAACACAGGATGGTTTGCTGTACCAGCCGCGCGTATCCGTCCAAGCGGACCCCGGAATTGCTCCGGCTCCTCATCTCCGCGACAGTCCCCGGGGCCGCTGCGCGGAGGTGGGACGCCCCGGCTGAGCCCGGTGGTTAGGGGTTCGGAACTTTTAAAAATGATAGAACTAAAGAGTGATTGGAAATCAAGCGGAAGGCGCAGGGGCGGGGACAGGAGCTGGCGCTATGGCGGCTCCACCTTGAGCAGGCCGTCGAGCCCCCATCGCTCGCGGGTCCCCGGCGGCCCCGCGGGAGAAGCTGGGTACCGGGCTCCGGCCGTGGGGCGACGAAATCTTGCCGAGCCTCTTTTGTCTTTTGTCTCTGTCCTCCAGGATGTGGTGAAAGGGCCCCGGGGCCGGCTGCGAACCCTAGCCCACCCGCAGCTCCTCCCCTGGCCCGCCCCCGCTCCCGCTCCCGCTCCCGCTCCGGAACGGAACGAAACGGAATCATCCGAGTCGGGGCCTGAGGGGGAAGGAAAAGTGAGTGGCCCGCGGGAGCAGCGGAGAACCTGGCCCGGGTGGGAACCAATTTGTCTCTCTGAGCCGCTTACCTTCCCACCGGACGCCGACCCCAGCGGAGGCTGGAGAACCAGGCCCTTCCGCCGCGACCGCCTGGACGCCCTGGATCCGCCCCGAGCCCCGCCTCCGGCTCCGCCCCGGGCGCGGAGCGGGACTCGCGGAGCCGGGCCTGCCAGAGGAGCAAGGTAAGGGGACTGCTCCGCTAGGGGACCAGAGCGAGGCTAACACCGTCTGTCGCTTGGGCCCCGCCCTGCCCCGAGATGAGCTCGCAGTCGCGTTCCTGGCACCGCCCTCCAGCCCCGCCCCCGCAGCGGAACGGAATCCTCCGAGGGCGGGAGGTGGAGGACTGACTCTAGGCGGCCGGCAAGGCAGCCTCCCGGCGCGGCCTTGAGGAGGCTCCCGGGATGGCCCGCCCACCTCACCAGAGGCGGGAAAATAGGCCAGTCCACAGAGGTCGCCTCTGCGGGCCGGGATGGTAGCGCTGCCCCGGGCCGCGCCTACGCTGAGCGGAAGCCTAGTAGAGGGGCACGGCCGGGAAGGGAAAGGGGCGGCCGGGGCAGGGTTCTCCAGCTGCCCCCTCAGCCTGCGGCCCCGCTCCTGGTCACCTGGGCGCCACTCACCAAGCCAGGACTGCAGTCTAGTCCAACAGGACTACAACTTGAAACTTGGCATTACAGTTTCTCGTGGCTGCCTACTACCTACAGTTCATAATCTTTGACCCAATATTCATTTTCCGCCAAAATCTGACCCCATATGAATTCCACTGGACAGTTGGGCTACTGTAATAGTTATCGCAAGCCCTTTGCTAGTCTTCATACTTTTACTGTGTGCTTGATAAGCCCTTCCTCCATCTGGCTCATCTGAAGCCTATCTTTCCTTTAAGGTCCAGCTCAGCTCCTCCCTCCTATTAGCCCTCAACATTCTCTGAATTCCCCTAACAATTTCCTTAAAAAGAACTTAGGTCGTGGAATCAATTCAAATTGAGTTCAAATCCCAGTTTTGCCATTTACAAATGGTGTGAGCTTTGGCATGCTGCTTTAGCTGTTTGAAATTAAATGTTCCCATCTGTAAAATGGGAATAATAGCACTTACCTTCTAGGGCGGCTATGGTCAAGAGGATAAATATAAAGCACTTAGTGCTATGCCTGGCATAGAAAAGTACTTCATAAATTGTAGCTGTTTTCATTATCATTTGACAATAACATTGCCTCATATTTTTTTGTTTTCATGTGAGGCATGTTTTTCTAACTGGATTGTAAGTTACTCATTGAAGCAGTCTTTGGTATCTCCCACCATGCTTGGTATAGTGTTGAGCATGTAGTTGTAGCTCAGTTACTGTAGGGAGGAAGGAAGGAAGAAAGGGGAGGAAGGGAAGGAAATCCGTTCTCAACTGGGTCCCCTATGTATGGCCCTTAACAAGGTAAAAAGTTTGGAAATTTCATAACAAATCTATGTCACTCAACTAAAACACCAACCCCTCATCATCTCACATTTTGTTTCTTACTACTGGCTCTTAAATTATTCAGCAATCTGTATGATGTGCCTTCATGAAGAATTTGCTATGGTCTAGGAATAAATAAAACTAGACATTGTTATCACCATTAACTCTTTTGGAATCTGAATATGTACTTTTCCTAGAACTCTTATGTATTCTGCATTTAAAAGCGGGTATCATTGCTTCTTTTCATTACTGCTTTCGTTCACATCGAGTGCTTCTTCGAATCTGTTTTGCAGCCATGGGGGAAAAATAGCTGATGAACTTTGCACATGACCTGGCATTTTCAACCAGTATAGAAACATTTTCAGTTTCTTGATCTCATTCTTTGCAAATGATACTACACACAAACACCCTTTTGGTGTATAGCCAGCCTTCATTCTTAGGGTTTGGTCTATACTTTAATGCATATTATCATATAAGCTCTATATTTTCAATAAGCTTGAAATTCAGAGATAAAACCAAGAAGAAAGGCTACTACTTTTTAGCTTTAAATTTCTAGGTGAATTTTATTGATTCATTTTGGATTAGATGCTATGCTGTAGAAAAATCAGACTCTTATTTTAGTATCATATGTCGCTGAGATACAAAACCTCCATATCATGGTCCCTATATCCATGAAGCCTTTCTCTGGTTTTGACCCAATAGAAACTGTCTCCAAGTCAGTTCTCAAATATGTATCAAGTACCAGATGTGAAATGTGATGGAGTATGTTGTTCTTTCTGAAGCTGATTCATGATCTTCATAAAGATGAAAACCCCAAATTGGACCCCGGGGGCAGCACCATGTATGATTTCCCTGACTCGACCTAGAGGGTCTGCCCATTGTCCTGTCACAGTGGCTTCTACCAAGGAAGTTCCCAGAGAGCCAGATATCAGTGTCTAAGGTAGAAACGAACAAATGTTTCTCTTGGAGTGTTCAGGTCTTTGATTCTAAAGAAAAGCACCACCTTTGACACAGAGAGGAGCCATTCTGAATCAATTTACTGAAAACAGCCCATTTACCAAATCTAGTTACCTTTATGACAATTTAATTTTAGTCTGGAGATCATTTTGTTTTTCATCACAATATTTTAAAGAATACTGAATTTGTCTCTGCTCCGGCTTCCTGTAGCTACTTTGAGACTGAGAGGTAAAGAGAGAAAACATAAGGGAGCCTAAGATTTTTTTACAGTGAAGAATATATCTGTAAATATATTTAAAAGAATATATTCTGGAAGAATATACTCAATTTTGTCTGCCCCAACCTTTTGATGCTGTAGCTTGAGACTGAGGTGAAAGAAAAAATAATCTACTGATAAGAGTTCTTCCTGTTCAGTATTATGTTCTTATATCCACTTATATCTTTCCTTTTCCTGTCCTTCAGATCCCAACCATAGCAGCGAGGAGCTAAGGCAGAGACAAACTGAAAGTCCTTAAAATGCTGTTATGGAGATAAAATGACAACATATTAGTCCATTTGGTAAATTGTTCATTCAGTAAATTAAGTCTTTGTCAAAATGGCCTTCAGGAAACTAACTTGCTTCCTAGGTAGATTCATTAGAAAAAAACCAGTATCCCAGTGAAGCCATTTTACCACTTTTGCTGAGAACAATCATGATGTTGCTCATTGAAGTCAATAGAGTTACTTTGTGGAATTGATTGTAGTGTATTTTGGGAAAAAATATTTCAAATGTTCTGAGGAAACACTTCTTCAAATAGTGGCCTCTGCTATGACACTCCTTGCCTCTTCGTACTGGCACCACTTCTATCTCCTTCAATAGTCTCAGATTGTGAGACCAGTTTGAAACCCAAACCAGAATGCTTTTCAAGAATATTCTCTCTGTCCTGCCCCTTATCTGTGTGAAGTAAAAAAAAAAAAAAAAATTAGACAAGAGAATTTGGCTTAAGGACCACAACTCAGACATCAAACACAATGGGAAAAATAAGGGGGATGGTGCCTAAAGGACATTAAACATTGTGCATCCTTTTGTGTATAATTTCGTGTAGAGAAAATGGGAGTTCCATGGCTAGGATTCTCACCTGACCCAAGTCTGCTTGCTGACTGCGCACATGCAATGTTTGCAGGTACATGCTTACACACATGTTGGCAATGGGCTATTACTGACTATATAAAGAGCTCCACTCAGTGCTCTGGGGCTGCGAGGTGACTCAGAGGCCCAGAGGCAGAGAACAGCTTGCTGCATGCAGACTTGCTCTGAGGTAGACAGGATTCTAGAGCTTACCCTGCCACCACAAGAATAAATCTGGGTATAAACCCTTTTACTCGCAAAGTTCTGTTGTCATTTTTCGGTCTCACCAAATCCAGAGTGAACTTGCCCAGGGCTGAAACCCTCAGATGAGACATTTAGCATAGTCAGCAATATTCGCTGCAGACTGAAAACAAAAAAAAGGAATAAGCTGCCCTCATGGGAAGGGTGCTTCAGAGGGCTGTCCTTATGGCTGGGGAAATAACTGAAGAACCCCTTATGGATGAGGAGGAATTTTGGTGTCCCCCAGTGGGCAGGTGGACTGAGGTGGCTTTCTAAAGGAGTGGGCCCCTCCCCAGAACTGGGGAGATGTAGAGGCAATGCCTGAGGCAGTGATAGAGGCCCTCCATGAGATTGGGAGATCCTTAGAGCAACAGAGTGCCCATGAGGTGGCAGAAACCATGGGTTGGATATTTCTCACAGTATTAAAAAAGGCCATGGGGGAGAAGGATAAACTCCTGCAAGGAGCATGAGAAGAGGCAGCACGAGAATGCAAACTGCAAGGTGTTGTGGAGGAGGAAAAAGATTTGTTGGAGAATGAGAAGGTGTCGCAGCAAAGCACTGAGGAAAAGGTAAAGGCCATGAAGGAGGAGGACGTGTTCCTGCGAGAAGCACGAGAAGAGGCAGCACGAGAATGCCAGCTACAAGGTGGTGAAGAGAAGGTAAAGAGTTGTTGAAGACTGACATAGTGTTGCTGCAAGGCACTGTAGAAAAGATAAAGGGTATAGCAGAGGAGGCATTCAGGGGAGTGCCGAGGAAGCTGCTGTCAGCACCGGATGTGGTAGAGGATATGTCAGAGAAGGACAAGGGGGTGGGGTGGTTCTGGTTGAAAGCCCGCCCAGTTGTAATTAAGAAAATAAAGATGCAGCAACACCTGCGGTTTCCTCTGGGAGAGGTGCAGCCCCCTCCCAAGGTCATGGAGCACTCTATGCTCTGCATCTATCTATACACAGGATAAGTTGGTGTTGGTGAATTTGGGCTCCCAATTTCAGCAGAAGCCCTTGGATTTGATATCAGGTTGGCTTCTGTGTCTTTGGGATGTAGGGGTGGATGGTATCATTGTCTGGATCAGAGATGGGAAAGCTGGCTTCCCTGACAGTTCGTCCTGCCTTGCGGCAGTGACTGCAAAATTCACATCAGACCCCAGAAAATCACTCCCTCCTCAGTTGGCTTACGGCTGTGTTTTGTGCTGTATGGCCCAATCAGGGTTTTACCATTTTCTCCCACTAGATGGCAGATGTGTGCTGAGCTCCAACAGGTGTTACGGGAGTTAGGCATGAAAAATGCCATTTATGGCCAATGAATTATGGCCCAGATGAGGAGCCTTTTACTGTGGGGCTGAGTAATGTGGTGCTTCAAATGGCCTCCCATCCCTCTTTGGGCCCCTAGTGGCCGTTCTTGCCCCTCACTTAGGACGGCCCATAAGTGAGCTTACCTGTACAGTAGCCAACTTGGGAGAGGCTGAAACAATGAGAGCACAGAAGGGAATATGGTCCACTACTCAGAGGAAGAGTTTAAAGAGCCCTGTGAAGGTCATGAGGACCCAGATATGACAGGAGCAGACAGAGGTCCCAGATAAAGGCAGGAGCAGACAGAGAGAAAATGAATGGAAAGTCACATCGAATCTGACTGGAGCTATGGCAGCAATTGAAGCCAGAGCAAGTTTTGGCAGTCAGCTAAAGTGAGGATCAAGAAACGGAAGCTGGAGACAAAGCCACAAGTTCAGGGAGAGTGAGCCTACCCCACCTGGACCCTCACAGGAAGACGATTGGGCAATATGGTTTGACTGAAGGGAGGATCAAGGCACCCGCCTAGGGGGACTGAGTTGGGACCAGAGACTACATGTTGAAATATCAATTCATTGGTCCCCAGCGAATGTACAATGTGTTCTGGCTCTGGTGGACACAGAAGCTGAGTGCTCACTGATTTATGGCAACCCTGAGTGGTTTCCAAGGACCCTGCTGTTCCAGATGGATATGAGGGTAAGGCTATCAGAGTGAAACAAGCCCGAATTCCATTGGAAATAGTGTCGACCCACAAAGGAGTACACTGTGTGTATCTCTCCTATCCCCAGATATATTTTGGAGATAGATATCCTGCAGGGCCTATGGTTGCAGACCACTGCAGGTGAGTTCAGACTGAGAATATGTGTGGTGAAGGCAGTTCTGAGGGGACAAGCTAAGCACCTGCCTATAGCTTTGTCTGTGCCTTGGTGGGTGACTAAAAACAAGCAACACAAATTACCTTGAGGCATAAAGAAATTGGAGAAATCCTCCAGGAACTGGAGGTGGGTGTTATAACGCTCACCCATAGTTCTTTTAATTCCCCAGTGTGGCCAGTGAAAAAGCCGAATGGCATCTGGCATATGACGATTACAGAGAATTGAATAAAGTCATACACCCTTGGCATGTTGCTGTCCCCTCTGTCACAGGCCTTATGGACACTCTCTCAGTCATGAACTAGGGACATATCATTATGTTGTAGATCTTGCTTATGCCTTCTTTTCCATTGAAATAGAATAGGAAAGTGAAGAGCAGTTTGCCTTCATGTGGGAAGGACAGCAATGGACTTTCATTGTCTTTCCACAGAGGTACCTCCACAGTCCCACAGTCTGTCACAGACTTGTAGCCCAGGACTTGGCAGCATGGCAGAAACTAACAATGCTGTAACTATACCACTATACTGATGATATCATGTTTACATCTGATTCTCTTCCAGACCTGGAAGGTGTAGCACCTAGACTGCTACAACGTCTACAGGAGAAAGGATGGGCTGTGAACAGCACCAAGGTTCAGGGACCTGGTTTATCAGTCAAATTCTTGGGAGTTGTCCAGTTGGGTAAGACTTAAGTTATCCCAGCAGTAGTGATAGGTAAAGTTCAGGCTTTTCCTACCCCGACAACCGTCACACTATTGCAAGAGTTTTGGGGTCTTTAAGTTTACTGGAGAGTGTTTATCCCACGCTTGGCACAAATTCTGAAGCCCTTATACCATTTGGTATGAAAGGGGGTCAGGTGGGACTGGAATGAAATGTGTGAATCTGCTTTCACTGCTGCAAAATGGGCAGTCAAGGCTCTGCAGGCCTTGAGTGTGATAGACCCATCAACGCTCTGTGAGCTGCATGTTCATGTGACTGAAGACAGTTATGGCTGGGGTCTCTGGCAGTGGCCTGAACAAACTCACCAACCTATTGGATTCTAGCTGTAACTCTGGAAAGGAACAGGGGTATGATACACCTTAACAGAGAATTGTCTGCTGTGTACCATACCTTGCTGGCTATGGAGTCCATCACTGGAACAGCCCCAACAAACATAATAACCACCTATCCCATTGCAGGGTGGGTACAAGACTGAACCCAAAAGTTGCAGAGTGGTATGGCACAGATGCCTACACTGGCCAAGTGGGGAACATACCTACAGCTGCATAGCGCCCTCTGTACTAGCCCCTTGAGTGAATAACTCCAATGCTTATTGGGGCCAGTGACATATACGAGTGAAAGGAAGGAAGAATTTGCTTTAGAGCCATTAGTAGCAGAAAGCCCTTATTGGGAGGGAAGAGGCCCTATACACAAAGATGCCTGGTACACAGATGGCTCCAGCTGTGGGCAGCCTGAAATGGAGGGTTGTAGCTTTCCATCTTAAGAGTGAGACAATATGGATGGAAGACGGTGAGGGGAAGAGCAGGCAGTGGGCAGAGTTGTGGACAGTATGGCTTATGATCACTCAGGAGCCCTCCCCACTAGTTGTCTGCACTGACAGTTGGGCTGTCTATTGAGGCTTGACTCTGTGGCTACCAACATGGTACCATGCCAACTGTTTGGTGACTGACTTCTTTGGGGGCAAGAGTTGTGGCAAGATTTATGGGCCTCTGGTCAGACTAAAACAGTTACAGTGTGTCATGTGACAGGCCATTTGCCACTGACATCCCTAGGAAATGATGAAACAAATGAATTGACCCAGGCACGTTGGCTAGAAGGAAAGCCTGCCTCTGATGAGGCCCAATGGTTACATCAACATTTGTTGTATGTGGGACAGAAGACAGTGTGGGCTGTAGCATATTGATGGGGCTGGCCTTTGACCTTTGAAGTCAGCAGAGCCCAGCAGGAGTGCATTTTGCTCTAAACTGGACTTACACCAAGTCCCACAGCAACATGGCATAATAGCTAAGGGGCTGATACCCCTTGTCAAGTAGCAGATAGACTATATTGGCCCTCTGTCCATATCAAGAAGGTACTGATATGCCCTGACTTGTGTGGACACAGCTACTGGACTTCTGGTTGCTTTTCCTGGGCGTTGTGCAGACCAGCAAATGACCAAAAGAGGCCTGGAGTGTCTTTGCAGCCTATGGCCAACTGCAGGTAATTTGAGAGTGATCAAGGCGCCCATTTTACTGGACATGCACTACAAGAATGGGTGCAACAAGTAGGGATAAAGTGGAAGTTTCACATACCATATAATCCTACTGGGACAGGCACGATAGAGAAGTACAATGGTTTGTTAAAATGTGGCCTGAAGTCAGACACTAGTAGTCTACAGGGATAGTCAGTCCACTTACAGACATTGCTACAGTATTTGAATGAGAAGCCCCAGAAAGGGGCATTGAGCCCTGTAGACATGCTAACAAACACTGCTGCCTCCCCTACACAGTTGCAAGGAGAAACTAAGGAGGAATCATTGAAACTGGGGTTTGGCCACCAGAATATCTTGCTACCAGCACTGGCTGCAATAAACCCTGGAGACTCCACTCAGTGGGAGTGGTCTCAGACATTTTGACACATGGACCAGCAATGGCTGGCCCTCCTGGCACCTTGGGGGCAAGGCCTGGAGGCTGGTCTCTTATGTATTCCTGGAGTAATGGCAGAGTGGCCTCCAAAGATCACAGTAGTGTACCCTAAATGGCTGGAAGGTAAGAGCATCTTAGTGGGGAGTTTTATCTTAATGGCCAGTACATTTGCCTCCAGTAGCACTATATACAGGCCACTCAGTAACCCCCACAAGGAGAGAGGTAAAGGTATGGTATACTAGATGCAGATGGGACCTGCTTTCTGCCATGGTCCTATCTCAGGACCACTCTCTTGTGTACATACTACCTGATGGACAAGATGTGCTTATATTGGTATCACTAAAATGTATCTGATCACCCTTAAGGTTAATCTCCTCTAATGTCTGTGTGGATTAGGCACAACTGCTGCTTGCTGGGTGTGCATGGAAGGTGTGAGTCATAAACTCATCCAAGTAGAACTGGTTTGAATACAGCTGGGATGACCATTTGGTGGCAATCGATCTCAGACTTGAGGATTATCATAATTTCTGTTGTTATCTGTACCATAATTTTTGTTATTTGTCTATTGTGTAGCCTCTTATCGTTATTGTGGAATTTGGTTATGATAGTCCAGCTTTCTTGCACAGGGACCATCATGAAAGACTGAGGGCATGTAGATTGTGAAGTGAGAATCCTGGAGAGGTGGAGTGTAGAGAAAATAGAAATTCCATGGCCAGGATCCTCACCTGACCCTGGTCTGCCTACCCACTGCACATGTGCAACGCTTGCAGGCTCAGGCTTACACACGTTGGCAGTGGGCTATTATTGACGCTATATATAGAGCTTGACCCAGTGCTCTGGGGCTGTGAGGTGGCAGAGAGGCCTGGAGGCAGAGACTGGCTTGCTGCATTCAGACTTGCCCTGAGGCAGATGGGATTCTAGTGCATGACCTGCCACCATGAGAATAGTGCTGGGTATAAACCCTTTTACCCCCAATGTTCCATTGTCATTTTTCAGTCTCACCAAATCCAGAGTGAACTTGCCCAGGGCTGAAACCCTCAGGCTAGACAGTTGGTTACATAATCTGCTTCATGAGATTTTGTTTCTGAAATCTTCCCCCAGCCAAATCTAGAGTATCTCGCCACCTTCCTCAACAATTTAGTACACAACATCTTCATGGATGCTGAGCATCATGGAAGGGAACACTGCTTTGAGATCTCTTATGGACTGAGGCCAGCTTTCCCCATTTGTGGCTCCCACATGCTAATCAGCTCCCCCAAAACACCAAATTCTGTCCTCACCTTGAAATCCTACTGTTCCATGTGGAGGAAAGTCACTTGGAGAGGATCCAAATCTGGGGCTTGTGTGGGCCAATGGCAACATGTGTTAAAGATAATCTTGAAAGAGTATGTGGAAAATTAAAAAGGAACCTCAGAAACTGATCTCATGTAGTAGAACAATCCTTGCTCTAAGTTCACAGTCACAGCGTGTCTGCTATTTGCCAAAAGATGTTACTGTGTGTTCATCTTAATCAGGCCTGTCCTACCATTTCCATGCCATACCGTCAGGGAAAGAGACCACAGATGTTTTCTCTTTGTAAAACTTCTCAAACTTAGAGGAATTAACTGCAAATTTATTTTGGTGATTGTAACATTTTTGTCAATTTTAACATATAAACACAAGACATTTAAATAAATCAGAGCAGAGGTATTACAAAGGCAAATCAGCATGCACAGAAGTGGATTACAGTATTACTATGGTTAGTCTGGCATACAACATTCACTTGAAATATATGCAAGGGAACCAACCTCAGTGAAAGACCTAACTGAAGGGTTCTGAAATGCTCCTAATGAGGACATATAAGAGATGCCGCTTAAGCAGCTGTAGGTGAGAGGCAAGACAGACCCTCTATAACTAGGAGCAATCAGGCTTTGACACATATGGAAACAACAGCATTGCAGGATATTTCACTGTTCCCAATAGCTGCTCCCCCTTGTCACTATATACTCTTCAAGACTTGACACCTTTTAAAAAATAATTATAGCTCTGCCTAGGCGAGAGTGTACCAGTCGTAACAATCAACAGAGTACCATGCAGCTGCCTTTTAAAGACAGCAATACGATTTTTTCCTTTATATACATCTGTTTTAAAAAAGTAGTCCTACTCTATTCTCCTTTCTGAAAGGCTGTAGGGATTTGAGAAGTGGCAGTGTATGTATCTCTTCCACAGTCACAATTTTCCTGACATACAGTCTAGATTGCAGTTCCATCCTTCCCTGTGGCTAAGGTATTAAATAAGCTAAACATCTTGGTGCAGATTCCATAATCTGATGATTGGGGATGAGGACAAGAGATAGGTATTAGCAGTGGATGCTGTGTTGTACAGGTCGTACAGGTTGTACAAGGGTGCACCCAAGAGAGTGAGTGGAGCTAAATATGGCCTCCACTCTATTTGCCAAACCATGAGCCCATGGGCCTGGGTCGGCCCAGTGGGGGCACCTTTTTCTAACTCACTCAGAGGCACTGTATGAGCTAACTGTGGCACCGTCTGCTTATATTTTTCCAGCCTGGCTGGCATCATTATTTCTTGATTTCAGTGAAGTTTCTGTATTTCACATCCCATATAATCTTCAAAAGGAGCTTTAGAATTCACTGAACCTGCAAGGATTTTCTGAATTATCACATTAGACACAACGACACAACCATGATTCCACAGAAAAATTTACACAGTAGAAAATAAATACAAAAAAATGTATAAGTGATTTTTGACGTGTGGGTCACTAAATTCAGCTTATTTACAATAAAGGCATGCACAACTAAACTCATCAACAGGCTGAAGTCAACTGTTGCTTTAGGGGTGTTGTTATTAAAATACAAGATGATGTTATTAAAATACAACTTAGCCCCTTTCAAATGTGGCTAGAGATGAGCAACTTTGATTTTTTTTTAAATGAGTCTTATTCTTAGTGTTTAAATCCAGTCTTCTTTTAAAACAAAGGATAAAAAACCAAATTGTAAATGTCTAAAAACCATGGTATAATCTCTTGGTTTCTTCTTCCAATAACCATTGCCCTCAATTAACTTACGCTCCTCCAGAGGTTGCTGAGTATAAAGTTAGTTGATTTTCATGTATCTCACATTGTGTAAAAGGTAAAGTAGGACATTTTCACACTGTCAAGCATCATGCTTTGATTTTAGAAAAGGAATCACATTTGCTCAATAAAGTGTAAGCTTCCCCGCTTTGAAGTCCTTCTGAGAGCGATACGGCTTTTACCATTACAGGAATCTTCTTTCTCATTAAACACGAGCTGTTTTCCAGTGAAATCATGAAGGCACACGTCTCCGTTCTGAACACTGAAAGAAACACCGTTCTTCTCCATAGTAGCATTCCCTATATAAAGAGAAACAAAGCCAGTGTCATGAAGTATCCACAGAAAGCATTTAAAAGATAAACTTAAATATCACTTCATTCTTAAGTGTGCACACATTGAACATGTCTTTTAAAAAAATATTTCTGATACATTGTCATATTTTATTTACTCTTCATTCCTTCCCTAAGACCACTCAAAGTAAGCAAAACAAATTGGAGAATGATTCAGAAACCAGTTCTCTCTGAGAGTTTGTTTTAAAATGAAATGGTCAAAATATGAAGCAAAGCAATTTATTTGACTTTTAAGGGCCCATTTCCTAACTGTGGTTGAACATATATTGACTTCAAGTCGTAGCATATTTGTAATATAACCTAATGTATATTATAGTCTCCCACACTGATTAAGGTTAACAGAGATCCCCATATGGCCCTTTACAAGGTTCTTGGTTCCCTAAGATTCCTATAAAACGTTGTACCAGAGAAATCCAGAGGGACAGCAGTCATTAGCAAGAAGAAACTGTTAAACCAGCCCCTCTGATCATTCCCAAGAGGAAACCACCAATTCTAACCTCAGAGTCCAGGCCAGGGAGCAGCTGGCCATTCTAGAGAAACTGGTTTGGACCTGGGCCTTTCCCACCCAAGCAGGCCCTGAATTGTGTAGGTATAAGGGGTAGGGAGCCACAGCTGCTGAGACCCTCTAGCTACTTGGCACCAACCCTCTGACCAATTATAATATTGTTAAGACAATGTAGAAAGCTGAATAATAAGCCCATTTATTAGTTCATGCCATAATAATTATAACAGTGCTGAGAACTTTGTAAGTTTTATTACTCTATGGAACAGGTGCTATTATTATCCCCATTTCACAGACAGTGAAACTGAGCTTTTAGAAATAAGTGCTTTGTTTAAGGTTACATGGCTCAGAAGTGATGGAATCAACATGTGATATTTCTCCCAAACTCTGAGCCTGTGGCCCTGCATACCAAGTGAGATGGCTGCTGGTACCTAAGCCTCTCAGGTGTAACTAAAATATGTAATCTTCACACAAACTAGGTGATGGGTATGGTTAACACAGCTCCATCTCTGGACACACAGCTCAAACAAGGCATGTGACAATCCGAGGCAGCTGTCCTGATTTAGGCTGAGGACATTTTGGTGCAGGAACAATTTGACCTGGTATAATGAATCAACCATTAAACTTTCAGCTTTTCTGAAATTGCTTATCCCATCCTTCATCCAACCCAGATCCTGGTGTGCAGACTGAGGAGTCAGGGATGTCTATCTGATGTGCATGTTGTGTGGTATTAACTACTTGGCCATTTTGATGGCCTAAAATGCACCCCACCCTCATTGGCAGCCATCAGAAATAGCTGTATCGAGTCAGCCATGTCAAAGAGCTGTGCAAAATGTGCTCCTTCTGTCAAATCTAATTCCCCGAAGTATGGCAACACATTGATAGGCTAGGCAAATAAGGCTTCATCTGATTTCTTTCTAGAATATGGACAAATCTGGTTTTAAGAGTCCCAGACACTTCTATCCAAGCCAGTAGGCTTTGCTGATATGTTGTGACTTTGAGGATTATTGATGACTTACCTCACACCTCTGATTTCTCTATTTTGAACTTGCTTTCTCACACTAACTTGTTAATGAGCTTTGATTGCCACTGCCTCTACTCTGTCTACCTACACTGAGCCGTTCCTGACATAGCCATCTGGCATAGAGCCAAGAGTTCTCCCCCTGGTATCTGTAGTAAAGAGTTGAGGCCACATGACGGCTGTTTCTCATCTCATACAGCAATGGTTCTCAACGAAGGACAGGGGGCTACTTAACAGCACACCCCGCCTCCTCCCCACCGCCCAGGGGACATTTCACAATGTCTGAAGACATTCTGGTTGTCACAACTGGGGGTGAGTGTGGTGCTACTGGTATGTGGTAGGTGCACACCAGGGATGTTACTAACCATCCCCAAATGCACAGGACAACCTCCCACAACAGAGTTATCTAGCTCCAAATGTCAATTATGCCAAGGTTGAGAAACCTTGATTTATTGTATTTTTAAAGTCAATACAAACCAGCAGGACCTCCTATCTATCTTTGGGAGGTTGGGAAACTAATTGATAGGTGTATGAAATATCTCACAAGTTTATTTAATCATGAAAATAATATCCTAAAATGATGAATAATGGCAGATTCTCCAAGGAAGGAAAAGTATGCCAGCAGTTTTTATAAAAATGCAAAAGATATATTAAGAAGCCAAAGAAGATAGAGAGATAAGCTTTTATGAGTACTAAACAGCCCAGTCTTATGGAAAAAAAAGAAAGAAAATGTAATGGAAGTTTTAGCTAGAAATATCAGAATTAGCATAAGGAGGTGCAGCAGCAATACTCTGTATACTGGTGACATATATGGTCACCAATACTGGTCACAATTTATCTTGCAGTATTTGCTATATTAATGGGGATCTGGGTATTGTCAGAAGGCAGACACACTGTGGAAAAAAATGAACAAACATGGCAAGCGAAAAATAGGAAGGTTTAAGTGTTGAAGATGTGTATTATTATAGATACACTAAAAATTGGTACAGTCTTATCGACTACTTTAGGTACTGCTTGCACAGAAATAGCCCAGCACTGAAGTCTTTGGCAATACTTAAATCAGGATTTGCAGCGTTAAAACTTTTAGTTTGTCATCAATTCCTGTCTTGAAAAACTAAATCTTACCAAAAAAAAAAAAAAAAAAATTCTGGTATTTGCTCTAAAATAAATTTGGATGAATAAACTTTCTCTTTTATAAGCGATCCACATTTTGATCCACTAGTCATATATGTAATTATTCACTTGGCTTATCAAAAATGCCAATAAAGATAAAACTGCTTTAATAATATAGACACTAGCTTGAGAAATACTATATTTGAGACATACATACCATTCCCGCTCGCAAGTCCTGAGCAATCATTATTCACTAGCAGCGTGGTGGAGTGGGTGGAGTTACTGTTTGACTGTAAGGAATTTGAAGAGCTGGACACTCCTTGGTTTACAGTCTGCTTCTTTAAACCATTAGTAGCAGTTTTACTCCAGTCTATAGCAGAATAAGCATTACAGAAAAACAGGGCGGAATGTTGGAGCTCAAATGCAAGAGGCAGAACAACAGTGTAACTCATTCTAGCAACTGATCCCTCACTTCCAGATCTTACAGAGAAGTCACACATTTCACAAGTTGGTGTGATGAATGTATTTTCATTTAAGAGTGCATACATTTGTCCTTTAAATGATTACCTGGTTAAAGATAACCTATATTCTCTTAGAACTACAAGCCGAGCTAATTTGATTGTGTCTGTAAATACCCATTGAATTAGGTACTTCAGAGCCTAGGACTGTCTTTTAACAAGAATGCAAATCGACTGTGCTGTGATGACTAATGGTTCTTAAATCCATACAAATGACCGGACTACATGTACTGCCATTTTCTGAGTACAGATCTTGTGTAACCAGATCTCTGCAATACTGCAAAGATTCATGGGTGGTATTCATGCAAGAAGAATTTAGTTTTTCTAACAGTACTTCATTTTTCTTATTTTCTTAAAAATAAGCTATTTGCTCTACTATCCAGCAGGGCATACATGAAAATAACTTCAAACTAACCACATGTATGCTACAGCGTATATACGAAGACTGGCCGACTAACAAATAAGCAACTAACAACTAGGACCTGAGGAGAAAAGGTTAGGTCAAGACTTAAAAAGTTACAAAAGTAAATATTAAATATTACTTTGGGCAAACAGAAACTATGAACTCAAAAGGAAATAAACTATAAAAATTTCACTGTTGCTTCATTCAAGAAGCAGCTAGCCCATTAATTCTATTGATCACTAAGTTCCCAGATATGAGTAATTCTTTTTTAATTCAGTAGTTTTTTTCCCTAATGTTCACAATCAATATTTTCTATTGAGCAGGTTCCGTTCATTGATTTCCAGATTGGATAAGCGCTTCGGCATTGATTGCTTTGGATCTTAACTTATACAATATTTTCTTCAGGATTTAAGAGAAAGAGAAAAAGTAAGGTAAATCTTTACCTGAATTTTCAGCCAGCCGTAACTTTCCACAACAAAGATACCGCTTCCACTGTTTTCTGACATTTTCTTTCGCTACACAGTAAAAGATGAATATGAAAAATCCTAGGGGAAAAAAAAAACCCATAACACAATGAATTCCAAGCTGAGACCTGAATGTCATGAGCTTCCTTTGCACAAAAAATAAAATCTTTGGCAGCTATAGGTTAATTGAAATTTGCAAACTGAAAAAAAGTCCAAAGTCCTGGGAAAGTTTGCTATGGAAAGGCACCCTGGGGGGGACGCTCTTTTTTTAAGATAGAAAAATATTTATGAAAGGAATGATAACTCTGTATTTTGAAAATTAAACTGTTTGTCCTTTCACATCCTGTCCTCCATCTTCTCTGCCTTTGGAAGTGCAAGCCATTGACCCAGGAAGCCAGCTCAGACCTAGGCTCTTACCTCCTGGCCCCTCCATATTTATAACCGATTTTCAAGTTCTGTCAAATACCATTTCTTCTTCTGTTCTCTCACATCCTTCACTGCCCCTCTCAGTCCATGGCTGTGCCCCTTGCCTGGGCCTTTCCCTCTTCCTCCTAAGCCTGGAGGACTGCAGCGACGTCCTTGTCTGCCTTCCAGCCTCCCTCTAACCTGCTTCAGGAAATACTCCACTGGCGTCCTGGCCACAGACTGAGCAACACTACACACTTGAAGAGGCTCTCATTCTCTGCCTCCCACCCTCTTCCTTCCTAGTCCTTGCGGTCACACGGCCCCACTGTTAGCACTCCTCAAGGATCTTGCCAATAAGTATATGCTGAAATGAAGGAGCAAATTCTGAGTTCTCCCTTTCCCCAACCCCCAATATATCTACTTGAAAATCTTCATTTAAAAATATCGTTTGCTTCTAGTAGGATGCACGTGCCCATCCTAAAGACGGATGATCTTGAATACTGCACACCTTTGTTCATTTGCCAACTTGGGTGGCTTTGCTTGGTTGCTTTAGGGGAGAAACAGCATGTAGGAGAGAGAGAAAAAAATAGGTACACCCAAATCCAAAACCAGAACTTATATATAGTTCTCCTTTAATCAACCTTCAGTAGCTCTGTGAATTAGGCATTAGTTTCCTTTTATAAATGAAACAGTACATTCCTTCTATCCATTCCTTTTCTAATGAGAAGACATTCTCGGGAAATGAAGAGAAAGAGGTTCAGTTTCCACATTAAATATGTGAGGGTAGATACTTAGCTTTTGTATTGATAATGTGTGTGATTTGGGCATATATTTTTTGCTCTTAAAATGGCTCTTTTAGCAGGCCATTGTTGGCAAATAAAACCTTTCTAACTAATACTATGTAATGCAACACCTGGACATATCAATTCAGGAACTAGAACATTGTAGGTGAAAATTAACAACTGTGCACAACCAACGAGCATATTAACTGGCTTCCTCTAAATAACTTAAGAACTGACAGCTAAATCAAACATTCAAATTCAATCTCAGGTGGGATTTCTTTGAAAACCAGTAAAATTATCTATTGCCTGATAGAACAACAGGAGGTGGCTGTGAGAGCTAAGAGCAACAGGGAAAAGATGAAAACAAGCAGATGAGAATGCAATTAAAAGGCATCCCAACAGAGGACTTGGAATAAAAGGAAACCAAGGGACATAAACTATTGTTACCATAATATAAATCTATTACCCCGCTTGGCTTTTAATGCCAAAGTACTTCCATTAAAAATTAATCACAGCTGACAAGTCTTTTACACTGATCTAAAAGAATTAATACATTGCTTTTCTGAAGAGCGCAACTGAGAGGGTTCCAAAATGACCACAGCTGGGCCTCATTAACAAATGGGAGGCTGTGAAGTAGAGGGCAACACAGAGAGCCTACCCCTTTCCTGCTGTGCTGGCCCAGCAGAGCAACTTCTCAGATTAGTCAGTGGGTCAGGCTGCTGCCACTTGGGTCTGTCTGTTGACTTCACACTTATCATCGGCTTCAAATCAAACACAGACCTAGGAGGCTGGAGTAGTGAGACCTCACAAGGACATTTATGGTATGTGCACTTTTCTGTATGCATGTTCTACTTCAATAAAAGGGTTAAAAAAAAAAGTAAGGAACCAAGTGAAGGAGGAGTAATCGACTCTCCCAGAGAAAGGTCCTGGCAGGTTGCCTTCTGCATGTTCTCTCCGAGGACGTAATGATGGATAAGGACGAAAAAAGTATCACTTCTTTTAGCGAACACCTTTCTTCCAAGGATCTCAAAGCACCCTTTCTCAAAGATAAATGCGTTTTTCAATGAATATATCTAAGCTGCTAAGTAAGTAAGCCACTTTGCAGTCACTCTTTAAGTAGTGATAGTTTTAAGTTGGATTGGCATCATTCAGTGCCTGTTTAGTACTGTAGAGCTTACCTTGTAAAGTGTTAAAAATGGCAAAGAGATACATGAAGGTGACATTAACTGGTCCCCAGGCAAACAAGGCAAAGCCCCAAGTAATTCCCAGTAAAAATGTAAGGCCGGCAACGCTGCGGAGGTCTTGAATACTGGTTTTTCTCTGGGCTCCCAGTTGTTTCTTCTTTTTAATTCGATAGAGCTGAACCAGGACCACAATGAACATGCTGATGTTCAGCAAAAATATCACACAGAAATATCCCACAACCGTAATATAGAATACCGCATTGTTGTTGATCCAGCAACTGGAATTTTGGGGGAAAAAACAGGAGAAAACATAGTACAATGCTGAAATATGGTAAAGAATCGTACAATGAATCTGTATCATTTTATAAAAACATTTCCTACAAGAACAAAAGGGAAAAAACCTGCTATTCTCCACAACCATTTATATTTCTAGGGAAAAAACCTGTTTATTTTAGGACACTTGGTGATTGAAAGTATTATTAAAATATTATTTGAAATCAGGATTTTACCCCCTTTAAATCCTGGCAACTCTATTCCATGAGTCTTTACTAATATAATGTAACTGGTATTTCATTTTTATCAGAGGCCTTTAAACGTGTTCTCAAAAGACTTCCTCATAATTCATTTTAATACTTAAATAGTAGCATGGCATTTCCAACTAGCTTATCTCATTACATATGTAACTGCAAAGGCTGCTGGGTTGTATTAGGATGAGAGCTGGAGTTGATATACTTATTAGAGCCTCCACTTGCTTGGAGAATTCTGTTTTCCAGTTCAATAACATTCACTCAGGGGCTTTGTACTCACAAGTCATCAGGTGAGCCATTGGGGAATTTCCCATAGGATCCACGCCCATAGTTATCTGAGCACATAATCAGGACAATGGTCACAACCACAGCTGGTAGCCCTGGAAGATGGGAAACGTCCGTCACATATAGGTCTGATAACCAAAGGTGGTGAAAATAAAGAATAAAGATACTATTCTATTTTCTCCGGGTAGCAGAGACTGGTAAGCTGTTCACAAACCCAGTTTCTCTTAATCCTCAGCACATGGCTGGACATCTCCCAGCCTTCCTTGGAGCTAGGTTTATGTAGCCACATGACTAGGTCTTGGCCAAAGGAATGCAGACAGAAGTGATTTGCTCCATCCTTGGCCTACCCCATGAGAAGCTCCGGTAAGACCCTCTACTGTCTTTTCCCCCAAATCCAGGGCAGCCTTGGAATCCACGTCTTGACACAGTCTCCAGCAGCTTAGATCCTGAATAACCACAAAACCACAGACCACCCTCCAACCCTAAGTGCTCTGATAACTGGACAGCATGTGAGTAAGAAATTATCTTTTAAGATTTCAGCGTTTCTCTGCTACAGCAGCTAATGTTACTGTTTATTTCTACATATCCGGAAGGTAATTTTAAGGGTCAGGTGGCAGGCAAAGTCAAAGATTCTAAAATGTAAACCAAATATTCAACATATTAGGGTTACCAGCAACTCGTGGCAACTCTTTCATTCCAAACCCAAAGTCCTCAATTGATTATCTGGAACCCACTGATGGATTGAAGAGCTTGACCTGGTTGACTGAGATGGTGGCTGCCACTAGGCTGGCTCTCTCAAGGGCCTGTGGGCACTTCCAAAAGAGGAAGGACAATGAGAAGGCTCATTCCAGCTTAAAACAGCATTTGGCAGGAAGGAGTCCTTCTCACTTCTCAGATCCATCACCCTCACCAACACCTCACACTCTATACACAGAGACCAGCCTGACATCCAATCTCAAGGCTCTGGTAAGTAAAAAACAATTCCTTCTCACAGATAGGTTTGGGTGCCTGGTACAATCAAACATAATATATCATTTAATTATTTTATGTTTGTACCATACGGAGACAGTGACATATGATGACTTCCTTAGTGAGACATTTTCCTAAAAACAAAATATTGGGGGTGTGGCGCTTGTCCTTGACAAGGGAATGCAACCTTTCAGGATTCTACAAAGATGACAGAATCCATGCCCAATGTCAGAAGCAGTGACTGATTTTTCTGGGAGAAGTGACTTATCTTTCTGGAAAGGTGCTGTTCTGTTTGTTATTCTGCACAAAGATATGACAGGCGGGGTGACAAGTGTGGTAAAGAGTCTGGAATCCTGATGTGTAGGGAGTATTTGAAGGAACATTTAGCCTGAAAAAAAGGAGAGAGTCTGGGAGAGATGGAGGCTGTAGTACAGGGGAAGGGATATGCATAAAAAAATCAGAAAGCCAGGCTTGGCTATGCTTAAGCTGTGTAAATTGGGATCAGTCATGTCGTCACCTTGAGCTGGTTTCTTTACCTGCCATTGGCAATAACTGTCATGCTAACCTCACTGGCTTGTCTTTCATGGGATTGCTTGTATGAAAATAATTTAAAATAGAGCATTATACATAGTGTTATCTATTGCTTGTAGATTATCTACAAGACTTTTTAGCAGAAGAGGTGTTAGCTTATTATTTTTTTGCCTGAGAGAGCAAAACTAAGGACACCTGTTAAGTGCCACCAGAGAGCCAAGTGAACTTAATGTAAAAACAGAACTGTAGTGCTTTAGAAAATGGTTACTGGCTGCCTTGTAAGGTATTAAAAACAAGACAACAGGCCCCAAATCAAGTTGCTTATGCTAAGTCCCACATCACCAGACTGAGACTGAACAGTTTTGGCCCTCCCAGAAATGCAATCTTAAACCAGTCACTCAGGATTTGCCTGATGAGCACTAGCTAAGTAATCAGCCTCATAGACCCCTGCCATCCCCTAAAGGAGTGACCTTGCCACCACCAATCTACTTTTTTTTGCCTTGTATAACTTCCTTGTTTCTGCATCCTTCGGCCTAAAAGTCTTTCATTTTGTACAGCTCCTCAGACCTTTCTATCTGCTATACCAGAACCTGCCTGATTCATGAATCATTGAATAAAGCCAAAAAGATCTTTAAAATTTATTTAAAAAGACTATAAATTCCTCAATAATAGAAGTGTTCAAGCAGAAGTTAGATTGTGTTTAGTCAAAGATAAGTCCAGTTGAGGCTTCTCCATTTGGTGGGGAGTTGAATCAGAGACCTTTAAGATCTTTGGGGCATCTAAGACTTTATGACCTACCACTGCCAAGTGGCACAATCTGAACTATTGTGCCAGTGTGGTGACAAAGTTATACTAGGTTACATCTACATATCCTCTCACTCTGCCCCTCCGAGCAAACCATCATGCATGTGTATCTTATCTAGGAGGTACAGAATACAGTGAGGCTAGCTGGGAGCTTGGGGACTGAGAGTTTGACCTCGTTGTCACCAAGCTAACTTTTTCAATTTCTTAAGCACCTTATGGGTGCCAGCCCCAGTTCTAGCTGCTGGAGATAAAAAGAGGATTTGTAGTCCTAACCTCAAAGAGGTTATATTCATAGCCTATCCAGAGGAAATATACAAATGTTCTAGAAAGACTCGACAAAGTTGCTCTTTGGGCCCTCCAGCATGTAAGGAGAACAAAGCTGTTTTAGAAACCTTCCAGGTGTGATGTGCTAAATCATTGTCTCTACCTGATTATAATCAAAACACTGGAGAAAAATCAGAGAAAGCCCAGGCAACCTGCAAGAAAAATATACATACCCCAACCAACAATGCAGAATTTAAGGATATATTTTCGGATATAAGTGTTAAACACTTTGACAAGGGCCAGGTACATATGGAATGCTTCCAGGCCCATCCATGTGAATGAGACTAAGAGAAAATAATGCAGAAATACAGCCACTGAGATGCAGAGGCTTCGCATGTCATAAAGAGCAGTCCATGAGTCCAAGAGGAACACCAGGTTCAGCAGGAGCAGAGCTGCGCACAACTGGATGAGAATTTTGGAAGGGTAATCCCTCCGGATCTTTCTAAAAGGAAAGGACAAGAAAAGAACTAGCACCACATTCTGCCAACCCTTATGTGAGCATACCTGATCTAAGCAATTTATTTTTATTCTTTGGTAAACATCTAGATGTATAAATTTCCTCTCTTTGAGTGTGTGTGTCTATGTGTGTAGACATTAAAACCAACAGTAACAGTGACAAAGCAAAAATCTAAACACAAACCATCTGAAAAATTCATGTTTATATTTCTGGAACCTTTTACATGCTGACTGTTGACCCATCCTTTTAAATAGTTTCTGGTGGAAGCTACTGAGCACCTAACTTCATTTCTTTCAAACTACTTTGAGAAGCATTGCTGCTGCTTCTCGTACAATAGGCTCCTATGTTCAGATCTTCAAAACATAGCCAGATTATCCCATTATCTTACGTTATTAGTTAAAATGAGATTATGGAAAGAAGAGTTTGAACTAGCTAAATGAAACAGACATAGGAAAATACAGCGAAATGATGACATATACATGTTTATGTGTGTGAAATTAGATCTGGTGAAATCATGCTGAGTAATGGTTGGCTCTATAGTAATTTAGTCTCATTAATAATATTTCCAAAGGTCCACTAGATCTGTAGTCATAGCTGGACCCTAAGTTTAGCACTGAGAGTAATTTTGTACATTTCCTGATCAATGTCTAAAATCTAAACCCCAGAATTTACATATTGTTTCACTTAGTTTATGCAATAAAAGTGGCTATTTCCTTCTTCTCCAACATAATTTGTTGAAATCCCCCCAAAAAGTGACCAAAGGGACCCTTCTGGTAAGCCAAGAAGGAGATGCTGTGATTTGGAATGTCATTCTTGCTTTGACCTGCATAGCCACATTGAGTATTTATATTTTTCAGTGAGGCTTTATAACATTCATTCTTCATCCCCATACCTGTTAATATATTTAGTCTTTTATGTTTCCTCAGTAACTCACAAACTTAACATATGAGGCACAGCTCTTACACTGTGCAGGGAGCTATGGTCAATTTCAGATTGTAAATTCGTGGGTTTGGGGTCTGCCTCTGTCTTTCATTTCACACTTGATGTCAGCTAGGTACCAGGCATCATTCTAGGGCACAAAGATGATTAAGACACAGCCCCTGCCTTCAGAAAATACATAAACTAGTGGAAGGAAGTGAGGATATAAACCAAAAAGTCCCATGAAGTTTTACATATAGGTGCCCCCACTAGATGAGTGTACACGATAAGGTGGACCAAGGAGCACACTTAAATAATACATTTTGGCAATGGAGGTGAGCACTGCATCCTATAATCCAGGTTTCTAGTTGTGGATACTCACTCAAAGGCTATGTAGGTTACAAGAGTAACTGACAGAAAAATTGATGAAAGCCCACAACCAATATATGTAATGAATGTCAGAGCCATCATCTGAGCAGGTGGCAAGGATGTTTGAGATAGGTCCTGGAAAATAAAATAGTGCTTTCAAGACCAGGTATTTTTAAATAAATAGTCATGATTTACATTTATTGAATGTTCTAACTGCCCATCCATAATTCATTCAACAAACCTATAAAGTAGGAACAATTATTATCATCAGGTAAAGATAATGAGAACTGAGAAAACGGAGACCCAGAGAGGTTAAGTAATCTGGCCATGGTCACACAGCTAAAAAGTGGGAGCCAGGGTCCAAATTCTGGTCTGGCTGACTCCAAAACATGTACTTGACCACTGCACTTTGGTGCACTGGAAAAGGACTGGGCTAGGAACCTAAAGACTTGAATTTGGCCTTTGCCTCTTACATTTCTTAGTTCTATGATTGTGGACAATCACCTAACAAATGAATCTTAATTCTGACTTTATTGAAATGACAATAACAATGTCCCACTCTACCTATCTTGTAGGACTATTGGGGAGATTAAGTGAGATAATTTATGTCAAGATATTTTATAAAAATTTTAAAGTATATTACAAACTAAGTCATTTTTATAGCCATTTTAATCTGAATTCCCTAGTCCTCCTAGATATTTAAGAGAAAAACTATAAAAACAGAATGGGAAAAAATACTTCTGTGTTCAAGTATTGTCCTTCAAGTGCATTTGCTTATTAGAAGAGTAATTTCATGGGTCTATAATTTTGCCACAATATCATCATATCACTGAGCTATCAAAGTTATCCATCACATATGACATCATGGTGTGATGCCCAGCTACCTGTCAGACCCAGAATCTAAGGCCAGGTAGTGTGGGGATATATATTACCAGTAAGATGCCGAAGCTTGTAAGGTGGCTGCAGGTACAGACGGTTTCATTCAGCCTCCTGTCTTTGACGGAGCAACCATCGGATGACCAACCCCCTCGGCCACCTGTTAGCATCAGGAAGAGTATCTGTCCCAGTAACAAGGCTACCCCTTCTACCCCACTCCCCTTCCCCCTGCCCACTCAAGACTTTACAAAAGGTATAACTGGAACCTACCATTTCTGCCCAAGTCCCAAAATACACATCTCACTGTTAAGTTACCCTGCAATAGAAAGATAAATTATAAATAATTAATTTGCTGAACTGAAAAAACTGAAAAGCAATTGGGGGGAAAAAAACCTAAGATTTTTTTTATTTGAGAATCTCATTCTTGATTTTTAGAGAGTTCTTAATTTTATACTGGTCCCTAGATGCAAGTGAGTCTCATATATGTGAGCACTTCTTAAACTCAGCAATCATGCATAGGAATCACCTTGAGGCCTTGAAAATGTATACCCTGGTTCAGTGGGTCTGGGGTGGGGTCTGAGAGTCTGCATTTCTAGCGAGCTCCCAGGTAATGCTGATGCTGTAGCTCTGCAGACCACACTTTGAGTATGAGGTCATAGATGATGCTCAATGTGAACTAAACTGAGATGTTTTCTCTTTGGAGATGAGAGTCAGACCCACAGCCACAGACCTAAATGCACTGAAATACAGCAATTGATAAGAGCTTGCTTTTGCACTGCTCCTTCTTGGAAATTCGGTGGTCAGTTATTAGGCATGCTAAAACCCAGCGGAGTGACTATGTGATTCTAGTCTTACATGCTGCCCTAACCAAGTTGAAGGTTTTGCTGGGTCTTCTTTTTTCAAGCCAAATCTTACAGACATTGTTTGCATAAGGTGTTTCTGGTCAATGAACAGACCAGACAGACCTCCCACCTGGTTTGGGTCGATGTGCTTTAGTGTAACCGTCACGTTTCTTGTCAAGTTCTTGATAGTCAGGTTTGCAACACTGGATGATATGACGTAGCTGATCAGAGCGAAGTTCTCCAGAGCAGGGTCCTAGCACACCAAAGAATCAACAAGATGGCAAGGGAAAATGAAATGTTATCAGAGAGTTTTAGAGCTAGAAGGGCCCCTAAGGACCATTTAGTCTACATTGTGTGTTTTACAACCTAGGTCAGAAATTTAGGGTCAGGGAGTACAGTGACTGTCCCACAGAGATAGTTAGAAGCAGAGCTTGTTCCACCATACAATGCTCTGCATACTGGGTTAAATTCCACAGACTGACACAATGGGAACTTCATGAATCATAAAGGGAACATGTATTAAGCCATATAAGCTGTGTTCTTGAGTAAGTTACTTAAGCTCTCTGTGCCTCCATGTCCACATCTATAAAATGGAGATAATAGTTCCTCTCTCAGGAGGTTGTTGAGGGGATTAGAGTTAACATTTCTAAGTGCTTAGTATGATAGTGCTTAAGTATCAGTCACTATCATTTACCACTAGCATTATTAGGCCTATTTAAAAATAAACTGTAGCTTTTCAACAACTTCCTTGACTTTAGCAGGCTTAAGGATATGTGAGGATTGAAAGAAACAAACCTCCCCCATCTCAAATAAAGCTTAAGCCAAAAGCAGTTGGGAGCAACTCTACCTGAAACAGAGTAGGTATTTCAAAAAAGTTGAACTGGATCCTGGAAGCTAGCCCCATATGATTAGCTGATAAATTACTCATCAGTGATGAAGGCAGAGTAATAATGCCGATACTATTCTCAGGAGCCCAAGTTTCTAAAGAAACCTGTAAATCAAGTAAAAGAAAATAAAAATGTCTGGGGCTAGTATAATTAGAAGATGGAAAACACAACTAATTAAGATTAAGGATCCCAGAAGGGCATCTCTCTGTGGTATCTTTGTTAAATCAGTTCTTCTTGTTTCTCTGATTGCTATGAAATCAGACAGGATATGTAATAGGAAGGTGAGACCTCAGAGCAGGAAAGGAAACATTTTAAGGATAAACAGTAACAGTCAGTGAAGGATATTGTATGTCAATTATATCTCAATAAAGCTGTGTGTGTGTATTGGGGGTGAGGGGGTGGGGGGAGTAGAGGATAACTACAGACAACAGGGAGACCACAGCAGCAGAGACACCACCCTGGTGACCTGTTAGGGCAAAGGCTTCAGAGAACCACATACACTAAACTTGTAAAGGGAAGAATCTAAAAGATAAAAGGCAAGAATTGGTTTCACTTGGGTGTTGCCAGCCCCCAGTCCCTCTAATAGGTGAATAGAAAACACTAGAAGCAGGATTGATAGTAAGCACCACTGTTCACACCAGTGTAGTCCTAACACTTGTTAAAACATTGAAATGGGTTGATAAGTACCTATGTCCCTGCTCTCTCAACTGCCTAGAACCTTCTGCTGGACACCACCCCCCACTGCAACCTCAAAACTTCCACAATCCAGTAACTGGGGATGCAATAAGGACCTCTCAGATCCTGCTCCAGCCAAGACCAATGTCCTTTTTTTTATTCTGTGGTGCCTCATTGTTCTAGATGTTAAATATTTTGAACATCACCCCTGACTATCAGCAGTAATTGCCTCAGTCATGAAGTATGCAGGGACTACAATCATATACATATACAAGAAAAGTTTTTTTCCACAATAAGGATGTACCTGAAGATTGGCAGGGTCTTGGGCAGCAAAGGTAGTTGTGTCGAAATTACTGGCATTTACTCTGATCACAGCCAGAGCCAAAGAAGGGGATGTTAGATTTATGGCCTTGGTTGAAAAATTCAGCTGTAAGCCAATGTCATTGACTACTTTTAGCAATCTGTAAAGATAAGAGGCAATTCAAATTCAGCACTCCCACTTTGTTTTCCCCATTCTAAGCGGTACACCGAGTAGCAAGTTCACAAATCATTATGACCCTCATACATAGGAGAAAAATACTTGGCTATAATTAACCATTTAAGAAGCACCTTTATCATAAAGAGGGTCCCCTCTCATTACCACATCAGTTAGCTAAGTCATACCTTTGGGCTAGAGGAACCAGCAGGGTGGGAGGGGAGCAAAGGAGTTGGCTGACTTGGTTTATCATTTCTCCTGCGAGGTTAGGCTCCAAGCTTCCTAAGGACAGAGCCTGCTCCATCTGGGACACTTGGTTCTCAAGATCAGAAACACTGATGCTGCTGGTGTGAACAATTTCTATAACAAAAAGCCAAGTCACTTTATGAACACATAATGGAAAAATCACTAATTAGTAAACATACATAGACTCTGTGACCTGGCAAACCTACTCCTAGGTATTTGCCCCAGGGAAATGAAAACATGTCTTAAGACTTTTTTATGAATGTTTATAGAGGCCTTTTCATAACAGTTCGAAACTGGAAACCACCCAAATGTCCATCAACTGGAAAATGGATAAACAAACTGCGGTCCATCTGTACAATGGACTATTATTCAGTAAAAAAAGGAATGTGCTACTGATACATGCAAACATGGGTAGACCTCCAATTCTCCAATGTATTATGTTAAGTCAGAGAAATCAGACTCAGAAGGCTATATACTGTATGATTCTCTTCATATGACATTCTAGGAAAATCAGAAGTATAGGGAAACAAAACAGATCAGAAGTGGCCAGGGGCTGGAGGTAGTGGGTAGGAGCTGACTTACAAAGGGATACAAGGGAACTCTGGGGATAGTGGAAATGTTATATATCATGATAGCGGTTATATGGTTGTGGGTATTTATCTGACTTCATAGGACTATACAAACTTCATTCATCCATAAGTCTGAGTGAATTTTACTGTAGGTAAATTATATTTCAAGAAACCTAACAAAAAAAATTGAAAAGTACATCAGTATATTTAGTGTAGGTTTGTATAAGCAGAAATATACTTGTATTTATATCATGTGTACAGAATTTTATGTGGTTAAATGGAAGCTCTTTTGTGGAAAAGAGATTGTTATGAAGTTAATAGCTGGATTACCAGCTGTAAACTGATTTTCAATAGTGTTTTTAATTGGGAAACAATGATACAAAGCCTGTCTAACAAAAGGTCTCTTAATTCTACCACCTAACATTCAATTTCTTAATTTGTATATTCCCAACTAATCTTTATCCATGTGTTATATATACTGTTATGAACATGGCAAGCTATTTATTGTTGTGTTACTTTTATTCCACTCAAGACTTGAAAAATGCCCCCAAGTTTATGTCTAGCTGTTCTTATGCATGGCTGCATAAGTCATTGTGTTGAGGTGGCATATTGTATTTCATCATTCCACTCTGTGGAACCGTTAAGTTATATCTACTTTTTAGCTACCAAATAATACCTCAACACATCTTTTATGCATATGTCACTTTGCTTCTGTTCTCTTATTGGCTGAAACTGAAGCCCTGGGAGTAGAAGCATAGACACAGGAGGCCACCTTGCTGGCTTTTCTGTGTAGCCTGTTAGGTTGATTCCAAGAGTCAATGGGGATAGCTTTGCAAAGGTGGGCTTTTTAGGCCCAGGTTAATACACTACAATTTCACTTTATTCTTTATCTGCCATTGAACCTTCTTGACGGAAGTCCCAGTGAGTTTATAATCTGGCCTAAAATGGCCATATATATTTAAAAGATAACTTGAGAGAGCAGTGCAAATTTGAAGAAATAGCAAGTCATTCGGCAGGTCACTCCCTAGTCTCCTGGGGATACTCACACTGTGGTGGAGGAAGTGGGGACTACAACCTGAGCTCCAATCTCAGGTCACCAAGAATTGGCTTTGCCTCTCACTCTGCGAATCCTAGAGGAAGGCCTGACTCTTAACCCACTGAACTGAAACTCCAGAGAGTATACAGAATTCTCTCTGCCTCTTCCCCTCTTCTGTTAAGCCTACTTTGTGTCAGGGAGCCCTCTGCAGTTACCGTGGCATTCACACATATGCCATTGTTCCAAACCTCATGCACTTGGTGCAATTTTGTCCATCTTTAAGTAGAGCAGGCCGAGTTAGGAGTTAAATGGCTTATCCCAGATCATGCTGCCTGGGAGGGCCGGTGAACACCCATGCCGAGTTCTTCTGAATGTTTCTCCCCTGCTGTGGCTACCTTGGCTCAATCCCAGCTCTGTCACTCTGTGACTAAGTGATTTTCAAGAACATCAATATTTTCTTTTGATTTCTGTCTAAAGGGAGTTACTGTGTTTAACAGTTCAAAAGTTTTCTCTTCCGAATGTTGAAAACAGTGACCTAACAACCTTTTGTAGGAGAAAGAAACCTGTAAAATAACTCATCTTCATAAAATGAGATTTCTCCAACTTTCTTGGTCAAAAGTCGGTCAGCCATATCTTGTTCTATGAACGCCTGAAGGAAAACTTTAGAAGCTGGGCAGACATCATAAAAAGAAAGGCTCGATGTGGTCTGGTTGTAGGTGTGTTGATTTGGCAGACAGACAGGCAGCTGCAGTTCAGATAGCCAGAATCACAACAGACGTAAGAGCAGCTTGGCTCCCCATAGTTACCTGTCTTGTCAGGAGGTGTGCCGGTCATGATGACATTCACAGGGGCAGACGTGGTAGGGGAGGGAAGTGAGGATTTCACAGGTGGCAGGGTGAGGGAAAGATCAGTTTGGGGTATAGGGGAAGAGACACTTTCAGATTGGGGGGGCATGTCAATGGAAGGGCTGGAAGCTGTAGGAGCTGAAGGCTGAGGAGAAAGAAGATGAATCACCCCTATTGGAGAGGGAGGGTTCTGGATTACAGGTGGATGAACTAGAGTCTCAGCAAAAGAGAAGGCACTGGAGACCTGGGGCAAAGTAGTGGCCCGAGGAGCAATTGGAATGGAATTGCTGGAAGAAGAGAAGGGTGGGCTATGTGGATGGCCAGCAAGGCACACAACGGGATCCTGCAGTTCACTAAAGGAAAGAATCAGAGAGATGTATGTGAGAATAAAATCCATGATAGAGAGGCTAATCTCCCCCTCTGGTAACCATCTGATGCCACCAAGGTTGTGTGTCTCCATCAGGGACCTGCCACAGCATACCCTCTGTGCATCTGCCACCGGCCCCCCTGCCCCTGCCCACTTTCACCACCTCCTCCCTGGAGAGGAATCAGCCAAGAAGAATGCTCTTTCATAAATTCCCACCTCTGGTTCATTCGTTCACTGCTGCTTGCAGGCTCTATGCCTTATCATTTACCACTCAGTTAAGGGGATCTTACAGCACTTCTATGTGGTTCTGGGGGGGAGGGGAGCAGTTGTACACCCTGTGACCCAACTGTGGTTTCCACAGACTATAAATCTTTTCTGCTTTGTTTCAGATTTTATAAAATTCATTCTCAAAACAGTAGAATCACATGCCCAAACTGTTCCAAACATACTTAAAAGTATTCTAAAAACTGATTTCAATACCAAAATATCATTTTCCTTTAATATTCAGATTCCACAGTGACAAAACTGGCTCATCATTTTTAGAACAGTTGATTGGGTTTTGTGGCTAAAGCATATCCATTTCAGAACTATGTCTGTCCATAACAGATTCACTAACTCTCCTGTCAACTCAGTATTAACATTGGGTTCAAAAAGGTACAGCATAAATTGAAAAGCAGCTCTAAACTTACCAATGACAATAAAATGTTCAAGTTTTTTTTTGTGTTTTTGCAACCATAGCACATAATTCTGTCATTTACAATTAAAGTCTTCTGCATATTGATCCAAATTTGAAAAATGTGTAAAGGTCATTATTACTGATTTGTATAATGGAATGTTTAATTTCAGCAAATTTTCATACTAGTCTTTATGGGTCCTAAATAAGCTTTCCTTTCCATGAAACTTCCAATTTAGCTCATTTATGTGCAGTGTGATATTGGCAGGGAAAGGTAAATCACAGTGCCTTTTTTTTTTCCTTCAACTTACTGAATTTTGTTTTAAGAAAATCTTTAATTGGAGTTAACAATACATAAACTTTTTGCAAAACTGATGAGCACAGGAATCTATCTGAATCAGTTTTATACTGCTATAGCAGGGCATAGTACTAATTCACACGTAGTGAGTAACCAAGAAATGTCTGTTGACTGAAAAAAAGTGAAGCAAGCTGGGGCCAAAGGAATAGTCCTCAGCTTGTAAATCAGCTATGCCCTCAATGCTGCTTTAGCCCACTGGTTCCCAACCTTGGCTGTGCATAAGAATTACCCAGGGGACTTTTAAAAAAATAGATTTCTACGGACTACTCCTCCGTGTTTGATTCAGTTAGTCTTGGGTGGGGATGAAGTTCTCAGGCCCATGTATTTTCATGGCATGGGAAGTTGAGAAGAACTCATCTACTATCTGGCACAAGATCCACCAGTTTTTGCGTTGGGGAGAGGGGCAACTGCAAGGGGCAACAAATTATCACCCAGGGAAGCCTCTAATGGGTCCAGTTTTAGTTGGTTCAGGACAGCAGTGTGGACAAAGGATTCCTAGCAGTCAGAGAGATCCTCTGGGCAATCCACCCAACTTCTCTGAGACTCTGGTTCCCTAAATTCTATACCGTGGCAACCTATCTGGCTAAGTTGTGGCAAAAGTGCTTTGCAAAGTGTAAATTAAATTTTCTCTGTATCACCTGGGGGCCTGTGCAGACCCCTAGTACAGGTCTCCCATTCACTAGGCTCAGCCGTAAAGAGGTTGCCTTGTATCCTCTAGTTACTTCTGCTGGGTGGAGCCTTCCATCCCAGGGGAGGTAACAGGGAGTGGAAGAGCAGTGGTGGACAACACCAGCTATTTATTAGAAACCTCGGAGCACTTGAACACTAGTGCCAGACTCCCACCCCAAACCAACTGAATTGGATTCTCTGGAGTAGATGCAAGCATTTGCATTGACTTTAATATGCTCCTTATTGAGGTGTAGCCTACATACAGTAAAGTGTATTCATCTTACATTTCGAGCTCAAAGAATTTTTATAAATGTATACACCTATATCACCACCACCTAGATGAAAATATAGAGTACTTCCAGCACCCCAGAAGGCCACTTTGACACAACATTAGGTTTTAAAAGGTCCCCAGATATTTCTAATATATAGCCAATCTTAAAAAGCAATCTATCAGAAAGACCCTGAGCCATCGTCTAATTTTAGCCTACTGGTCCTCAAATTTGGCTGCATATTAGAATCATCCATGCAGGAGTTTTTAAAAATCTAGACGCTTACCCTGCACCCCAGACCAATGACATCACCATTTCTGAGGGTGGAAGGCAGGCATGGGTGTTTTTTAAACTCCCCAGATGATTCCAACATATAGCTGGGGTTGAGAACCATTGCTCTATGATCTAAAACCCAACTGCTCAGAGTGGGATCCATGAACCAGCAGCACTGGCTTCACCTGGGAGCTTGTTAGAAATGCAGAATCTCAGGCCCTTCCCAGACCCATTGGATCAGAATTTAATCAAGATCCTCAGTGACTGATAAGCACAGTAACCTTTGAGAAATGCTGATATGATCCACTTCCTCATTTTACAAGGAGGAACCTGAGACTTTTAAAGGTAAAGAAGTGCCTTCCTCACATCTGGACACACAGCTAGTTAATGATAGAGCCCTAGCCAGACATCAGATTCAGATTCTGTCCCCTTTTCTATGTCTCACTGCTTCTTCCTAACAGCTGTCTGAATAGGCATTCATCGAAATCAGTGGGGCTGCTTCAAAAATCTATGATCTCCTCATCCAGTCCATCCAATTACTTCCAGAAATTCCATCTCCCAAAAGGGACTCAACCCTCCAGCTTGTTAAGCTTAAAACTCAAATACTCTACATTCTGTTACAGAATGTTACAAATGCTTAACTAAAGTCCTTTAGCTCTATTCCTTGAGGCCCATTGTTTTAATATATCCCAGATAAATGACCCACACCAGTCAAACAGGCTACACTTAGCTTTATGTTCCTGTATGAGAAGATTCACAATTGAAAAATGTTATGTCTTTTTTTTTCAAATACAAATTTTATCTGATTGTAGAAAAGTACAAAAAATGCACAGGAGAAAAAAAAAGTAAACAAGAAAATGTCATCCATATTGCCAGCAGGCAGGTCAATCACTGGGAAACACTGTTAGCATGTTCATTCACTTCCTGTTTTTTTTTCTATGTATATTTCTATACGCCTGTGATCATCTCATCTATGACTTTTGGAATTATCTGCTATTTTGGAGCATCCATCTCCCAGCTTCCCTCCACTGAGGTAGTAAGTTTAAAGCAGTGATTCTCCACTTCAACTGTACATTAGAATCACCAAGAGGGCTTTTTAACACCCTTAATGCCTAGACTGTGCCCCAGACCAATTAAATCAGAATCTCTGAGGGTGGAGACCAGGAATCAGGATTTTCAAAAATTTTTTAATTTGCACTAATTTTAGGCTTACAGAAACACTGCAAAAATAACCAAGTTCCGTATATCCCTTACCCAGCTTCCCCCAATGTTACCATCTAACATTTGGAATTAGACCCAAATAGCTATCAACATTTAGAATGACAAAGGTGGCATCCCAAGTCACTAGGGCAAAAATGGACTTTTTAATAAATAATGCGGGGGCCACTGGGTAGACATTTAGAAAAAGATTAAATTAGATTCATCCCTCGTACCACACACAAGAATAAACTCCAAATGGATCTGTGTAAAAAAAATGAAGCCATACAAGTACTAGAAAAACACAAGGGTGAATTCCTCCAAAACTTGGGTACAGGGAAAGGCTTTATAACTTTGCCTCCAAATCCACAAGCAATAAAATATGGGTAAATTTAACAGTAAAAAAAAAAATTTAATTTGCATGACAAAAGCATCATGAACAAAGTTAAAAGATAAACTGACAAACTGGGAGAAAATATTTGTAGCATATACTACAAAGGACTAATATTCACAAGATATGAAATAAAAATTCCAGTTAAAAAATGGGGAAAAGACTTGAACACAATTCATAAGATCCAAAAATGGACCCCAAATACATGAAAAAAAATGTTCAAATAGTCTTAATAAGGCAAGTGCACATTAAGGGAACACTGAAACACCATTTCTCATCTACCACACCAGAAAATTTTAAAAAAATATTTTAATGACAACATCCAGTTGGTGAGGCTGTGGGGAGTTAGAATATTTTTAATGCTCCCCAGGTGATTCTGATATGCAAGAAGATTGCAAACCTTTGGTTTAAGGCAATGGTCCAAATGGAAACTTCATACAACAGAAAATTGTGCATTTTCCCTAAAATTGAAGGCCCTTCTTCACTGCTGAAATTCTAAAATTCCTTAGCCAGTATGGTGATTAAAAGTTATTATTATTATTATTAATATTGCTTTTAGGAAAAGGGTCAGCATGTTTGCTACATACCACTGCAGTTTTTCTAACTCTTCCAGGGAGGAAGGGCAAGCTATCCTGACAGCACAGCAGCACTGCTCTGGAAGAGACAAAAGGCAAAGAAAAGAGACAGCATAGTTAAGAATAAGGCAAGGTAGAAACTCAGATCCATCAAGCATGATGGTTCTTACACTGATTTCATTTTAAGGAACTTTTGTCTAAAACACGTGATAAAATAAATTTGATGCCATCATATTGACAATTATATATATGTGTGTGTGTGTATATATATATATATAGTAGGTGCTAAAAAATATTTATTGAGTGAATAATTTGGGGGGAGTTATATACCCGCAATATCAATCACTCTTCAGCAACTCCTAAGAGGGATTCAGAAGTAAATATATCCCAGCAGCAATCAATTGAACACTCCAAATAGAATTCTCCCTCTCAGTAGGGTTTGTTTTATCATATTTTCAAGTACAATATACTAAAACTTTATTAAGAAATCAGGAAAAATCACCTTTTAGGGTTCCCTAAAAGCTGCCCAAGGACAAAAGAGTCAAAACCGAAAGCTGTAACATACATAAATTTATTAATTATGTTTTTGATTTTAAAAAGAACACACCAAAGTCACGTGAAAATGAACACAGAAATAAACCAGCAACTGACAACTTACCCATTGGCCGAATCTTTACTCTTTTCAAAGTGACCATTACAGCACATATGTTCATTGTCTTATTCATTTTTATTGTGAATGTACAATTTAATGTGCTGTAAAGAGAAATATATATAACCAGAATGTTACTAAACTGGAAACCTATCTACATATTTGTAATTGCTTTTTCAAGTTTAGAATGAGGAAAGGGAACACTGAAACTGGTAACTTGCAATGTCACCAGAAAAAGCTTGAGAACACCCATCTACCATGGTCTGAACTTCACCCAAATAAATGACTTTCTATAATGAGACATTTAAAGTTTATATGCACAGAGATTGCAAACCAGAGACCCTCTGACCACACACAGCTGCTGATTTATTTTCCCTGCCTGCATAATGAATAGGCAGGGGTGAAACTTGGCTGCAAAAACAAGCATCTTGCTATCTAGAGTCTTACTCCCTGCCAGCTATTTGCCTGGTGTCTGTAGGCATTTGAGCTTTCATCATACAAGCTTAAATGAACATCAACTTCTCTTAAATCTAAAATCTCTTTGGCAATTCAATCTAGATTATCAGATAACTAGGAATTTAAGACATTCTCTCTGTTTCTTTCATACTTTAGTCTTGGTTGGGGTGAAAAATAATGTTGCAAGTAATGAAAAGTGGTAAGTGAAATGAGCTAAATACATACAGCAGATAGGGATTCAATCTACAATGTCATGAAAGATGCCATTATTTGTGTCAGTGGATAGTTTGGTGAATGGAAACTGTCATTTTCTAGGACTTTAATGCTCATGGAATTCTCAGAGTTCAAGTAGTGAGATTATTGACCTATAATAAACTGTTGGCTTTTGCAGCCAGGACAGCCAATGGGCACAGTTTAAAGTGATAATTTGTGCAACACCAAATAATTGTTGGGTGACTTTTGAGTCAACCCCTACATGCATTTTTTAATTTCTTCTTTTTCTGTTTTTCCAATCTTTTCCCTCCTCTCTCCTTCTTCTCCCAAGCTCCATATTATGTTCCTTCCATGTCTAGCCTTCATCCTGACTGGCCCACACTGTGAGCCATTTCTTGTTCATACTGATGGCCCTTGGGGCTAAGGACACTGATAATCCTTACCGCCATAGAACCAGAGGCAAATGGCCCAACACCATAAAGAAATGAGAAGATGGATGTGACAGAGTGATGAGGGTTTGGAGGAATAAAAAGATACATATCCAAAATGTCATTAACATGCATTTATTTTAGATGAACATCTTTCAATTTGCAACCTAAGACTCCTCAATACTTTATTCTTATGAATACAGAAATAATGATATTTATGAAAGTATTCAAAATGACTGACCTTTGGGCTTCTACTGTGGAACACACTATAAAATATGTCTGAAATAAAGGTATGCATATATATGTTAACTTTGACAGTTGAAAATGTCCAGCAAGATGACCAAGGACTAATCACAGAATCTTAGAACCACAAGAACCCTTAGGGATCATCCAATTCACATTCCTATCAGATTCCTGATGTATGATCAAAGCTATTCAGGCCATAGACTCTGCTTGGATACCTCCAGTGCCAGGTAGCTCACTGTCACACAGGGGGAGCTCATTCTCCTGGAGCCCTCATTTTAAGAAACATTTGCTTTTACATGAAGGAAAATCTATCCCCTTGTTAACATCCCATCCATTGAGCCTACTTCTGATTTCTGGAGTAATGAAAGTCATCTGTTTATTCTTTTACATGACAGATTTGGGGGAATTTAAATATATATCTCCTCAGGAATGCAGAACTCCATGCTTCCCCCCAAATATTAACAATCATAAACAATGTACAGAATGTGCTATGATTACCTCACTTAGGGTCTGCAGGGTTTTGTTGAGCTCTGACCGTCTGTTAATAAAATAAGAAAAATTAACATGAAGGAGATCACTGGTGATGTTAAATTCAAAACAAGTTAGATTTTTATTAATTAGATGAAGCATATGGTATTTATTGCTTGCAGTGTTCACTTTGAAGAAACGCTGCGTATAATAAAAGATTCCTATTTGGGAAAAATAAATTATTTATATGACAAGGGAAACTAACCAGACAGAAGCTGTATTGTTTCTAGCCAACAGCAAGATATAAATTATGGCTGAACAATCTTGTTATTCATTAGGCTACTGCAACCCACAGCAGTGTCTGGCAGAAGGCCTCAGGGAGAGCTGACCCACGGCAAAATTTCTGAGAAGGGCCCACCACTCTCTCTGGGGACCCTGTGCCTTGGGTTTCTTCCTCACTGCCTGTCCATCTGACCCTGCCTTTCCTCTAGCACTCTCAAGTCCTGCCTTCCCCTCCTCACAAGCCCTCTTCAGGAATTTCCCTCCTTCCTCACCTCCAGTCCCACTTGAACAACACTTTTAGTTCTTCAACATGGCAGAGCTTCACAGGAAGTTAGGATGAAAGAAATCTAGTTAAGGAATTCACTCTAAGGCAGTGATTCTCAAGCAGGGTGACTGCCCACCAGGGCATACCTGGCAATATCTGGAGACGTTTTTGATTGTCATAATTGAAGGCCGGGTGCTACTGGCATCTAGTGGATAGAGGCCAGGGATCCGTTACATACCCTACAGTGCACAACACAGCCCCACATAACGAAGAACTATGAGGCCCAAAATGTCAGTAGCGCTGAGGAACCCTGCTCCAAGGAATGGGCAATAGTTCTAGGTGCCTCAAGGGAAGCCCTGGAGGGAAGATGAGAAGGACTGTGGCAATTGTCAGCTAGCTTTTCAAGCTACAGAAGCCGCTCCTCCATCACTGTGCTCAGAGGCCACCTTCTCTCTGGGGTTTTCCTGGCCCCTCTAGTCAGATCTAACCTCTCCACCTGCTCTATATTCAAATAGTTTGGACATCCTTCGGTACCCTGTACATGTCACCTTCATTGTAGGGATTGTATTATATTATCATTTGTTTGCACTCTGCATCTTTCCTACCAGACACGAGGCTCCTGGTTCTTAAAATGGACCTCATGCTAGAAGCACCCAGGGAGCTTTAAAAAATACCAATGCCTGCGTCTTAGCCCCCAAATACTGATGTAATTGTTATGGAGTATGCCTGGGCATCAGGATTTTTTAAAACTCCCCAGGTGATTTTAATATGCAGCCTGGGGTGAGAACTGCTCTAGACCCAGTTTTCCATCTCAAGAGAGTTGGGTTTTATCCCTAAGGCCCAGCACATAATAGGTACTCAACAAATGCTTCGTGCCTGTAAATGAGCTCATCTATATTTCAAGTCTAGTAATTAAGATGAATTACTTACAAGTACACTAAGTCACGGAAACATGTATTGTAATGCATTTCTCATGGTCTGTGCTTGTCTTTATAAACTAAGGTCTGCTTAACAAAGACCTCTCTTTGACTTTTGAATCACTGATGTTTCATGAAAGCATGAAATAGAGTCCTATACCTTGAACTCTTCTTTCAACCTTGCTAGCTACCAAATCATTTACAACTCAAATACCAATTCAGATGGAGCTCTTACATAATTTCAGAGCACCAAAGAGAATAGCTTCACAGGGTTATCAGTTGATGACAAGTGACTATGGTTAGTTTGCAATTCTTTATAACTTTGCATCTGTCTCTTTCTTATTCTTGTTTTCCAAAAGTAAAGACAGCTCACAAGGATCTTCCCATGGTCAATGTGTTAAATTTTAAATCAAACAGCAGATTACTCACTTCAATTCACTTAAAGACAGGACTCCAGTTAAGGTGCCATTAGCCATATTTTGATTCTGTTAGAAGCACAAAATCATTAAGAATACAACAAATACTGTTTTGGATTTTTACACTCTAACAAGAAGTTGTCCTTGAGTTGTGTTGGTTACCCAAAGATTGTGAATCCTAACTGCATGGAATACTGTCTAGCAAACAATCAAATCCATATTGACTAAGCCAGTTATATTTTTGTTTTCTTTTAAAAATATTCTGAATCAGAAATTCTGATGTGCTAATTTCTGTCTTTCATTGTTCCATTATTCTTCCCCCAAAAGAACACTAAAGTTTTCTACAAGAAAGGTCCCAAATTTAAGTGAAAGATCCCAGTGTCCAAAGAGAACCTTGGTAGCAGCCATCACTGTATTTCTATCACCTAGCTCATTTTCTGGCACATAGCAGGTGTTCAGGAAATAGTCACTGAATGAACAAACCACACTTAGCTGGGATACTCTGAACCAATCTAGGTTTTGGGAAGGTTGAAACTATTGCATCCAGTTCCCCATGGGGTGAACAGTATGAGATTCAGACGTCTATTCTTTGGTTCAATATGTTATATTTCTTATTGCCAGGAGTTTCTAATATAATTTAAAATTTTGACTGGCCATATATTACATTAAATAAACATTCTTATTCAGCAGCAAACCTAGTGAAAACTAAAAATGTAATTATTAACAAAAATACCACAACTGTTACAAAGTCAAGCCCTCTTGACAAAGCTAGTCACTCAACAACATATATATTTTATTTAAATTTGGTCATAAAAGTAAATATGCCAATTATCATAAATAATCTGAACCGTCAATAAATCTTTAAATACACAAGAATTCACTTTCTAAGACTGAGATAGAAAAAAATCTTTAAAACCTACCTGGGTAATATTGTTTTCTTCATCATATTCAAACATTATCTCCCCTCTAAAAAATGCTAAAAATAAATTTTCAAAAAGAAATTTGAGATCTTTATCCTTAGAGCTTTAGGATTATTACAACACAGAAAAAGATTATCAAATTACTTTATAGAGTTCCATAAAACTGTTGTTATTCACATTTACTCTTTTCCATCAGTAAGTTACTCAATAATTACCAACATAATTACCTGAAAATATGAACTATAAATTTTATGTGGGAATGCAGAAAGAGGAAAAAATTTGTCTCCTTGTCAAGCAATTTTATCCCTACACGCTGCTCATCAGAACTTTGTTTCCCTTAAAGATGCTAATGGGGGCGGCGGGGGGGCCTGTGGCTCTAATACAAAAAATCTTTTTAAGTTGTTATAGTTGCAGTTACACAGATAAGAATGGAGGGAAAAAGTGTTTCTCAGCAGTTAAGCAACCTTATGAAAGTCTATTTATTCTTTGCCAATTATTTTTCTTTTTAAAATATAGCTACCAAATGCTATATCTTTCCTAGGAACAAAGTTGAGATTTTGCTTTGAAACTTGAATAGTGTACAGGACAAAACCATTCTTCAACTGAACAACTCATTGTAGCTTTTATCCCAGAAATGCCAAAAAAAACCCTGTTCTAAAAATGCTCACTTTGGGAAATACTGAACTCAATTTTGGTTAATGTATTTCCTACAGGGTATATTCAGAGGGGCTTTGACCATCTGGAAACAAATAAAATAGAGACTCCTTAACAGAAGCACATTGTGTATAGTTCATAATCTACAGTGACAAAAAACTGGCTTCTTAAGGGGATGGGCAAGGATGACTAGAGCAGGGGTTAGCTAACTCTTCTTGTAAAATATTAGATAATAAGTATTTGAGGTTTTGTGTGCCACGTTTTCTCTATTGAAACTACTCAACTTTGTGGCTGCAGTACAAAAGCAGCCATAGACAGTATGTAAATGAATGTCTTAGCTGTGTTCCAATAAAACTTTATTTACAAAAACAGGTGACCAGCTATTTCTGGACTGTGGACAGTAGTTCATAAACCCTAGCTAAAGGGTTGAAGGCCTGCTCATCTTATCTTTTACTGCACTCAGTGTATAACTGATTTCCACAGCCAAGTACCCAATGGTCCACTTCCACTTAAAATGGCTGACAAAGCCACCAGACCAGTGATTAACATGATTTATCTACTTCAGCAACTTTTCTACTGAGAACCTCAACTTTTGCACATTGGTACTGAAATTTCAATTAACATAGTACATAATTATTAAAAGTAAAGATACTTGATATATGCATAGAATTACTGATCCATTTCTGAAAAAATTTTAGATTTTGAAAAGTTATTGTGTGTGTGTGCACACTCATGCACACACCAACATCCATGGTTTCTTACCTTCACCCCTCCATTCTCCAAGTTCATCCTTCAGTCTTGTTAAGCACATGTTGAGTTTTATAAATGTGCTGAGAGCACAATGGTAGCAGAGCAACCAGGAAGCCACCACCTTTTAACCCTCAGCCTAACTCTGCCCAGTCAATCCCCAGTTTTTTCAACAGCCTCCATTTCCCTTAATGAATCCAGATTGGAACCTGCAAGAAGTGAAGGTTTCTAATTTCTGGCAGGATATAATGGAATTTCTGGTGCCAAAAGAGTTGGTTCCCTGATGAGGTGGTTTTTACCAGACACTAAAACAAATGGTCAATTCAGTCACTTAATTGGGGAAACGATTACTCCAACCAGCTTCCTGGCATCTGCTATTCAAGATGACCAGTTTTTTTGACTAAATGTTCAGTTTTCAAAGTTATCAAACATGTAGACACAACACTAAACTAGACGTTAGTCACCAGTCCAAAACATAGATGAAGCATAAAAATAATGGAATTATGGAGAATTCAGTAAAGCAAAGGGTAAAGGAGGAGCGAGGGAAGGAGAGAAGAGAGAGTTATACAAGAGGAAAGAGAAATGTATCCAACAGTGTTTATTTTTCTTTAATCAAAACCAGCTAATATTTTCCTGCTATATCCTACCTAGAACATACTATCAGCAAAAAGCTCATATAAATAAATCTCATTCACACAAACAGAAAGTGGAGCATTCTTTCAAAAGAAAATTTTCTTCTTTTCTAAACTATCCAACCATAACTTATTTTACTTGAAACTATTCCCTATGTTTTTCAAATTATTAAACTGTTAAAATGAACAGAATAAAAGGCAAACATTCCTATAATTTTTTTTATCTCAGTGGAGTCATACTAAGACTTTACTATTATATGATACAGTGTTACCTTCCTCTTCTGTCTTCCCATGATCCATTCTGACCTGCCACACCATGTTTTTCTGTTTTTCACATCTGCTTTCATTGATTTTTAACAAGGGAGCCCAGAGAGCCAAACCAATGTGAGAAAAGTGGTTGTTTTACTTCTTCTGGCCCATGGCAGAAGGGAAAATATTCCCATTTCAAAAATAGCATGTTCTCAAGAGATTTCCATCTCAAGTTTAAAAAATAGTAGACAGTCTTAGTTAGAGATGGCAAAATACACTATGGGCACTACTGGAATTAGCATCCCATTAAACCAGGTATACATGAGGTTTTCAACATTCTATTAGAGTGGTTAGTTTTATTTTCAGGAAAAGACAACATCCTGTCTCTAAGCTATAATACTTAAGGTCCTATGGAAAAGATGCAAGGATTCATAGACACGAAGTGGCTTTCAATATTAAGTTCATTATTAGTTATGTTCATGAATCAACTCTAAGGGTATTTATTTAAAGCTTTGGATTCAAAACTATGGTTAAAATTATTTGGTGTACAGCTTCATGTTCTCATATTAAGGATGTTAATCCACAATCTCACTAGGCATTAGTAAGACAATTTCAGCAAGATCTAAAATTTGCTTTTGTTTTCATTCAGAACTCTTAGTACCCAGGTAGTATGAAAAGAGACAGATGAGGCACATATTGCATACTCAACAGGAGAAAAACAAACCATTTTTCTTATGGAGCTAATTTATCTGGTAATGTGAAATGTACACGAAAACCAACCTGAGTCATTGCAAACAGATGACAAATTGCAGGAATTTCTCTGGGGTTTGACTCCTGCAAAGAAAACACAGCTAGCCAGTTAAGCATGTCAACACCTGCACTTATATACTTCATTATCAAGAGAATTCACAAATTCACAAACTTAGGCATAAAATGTGGATGTAACTGGCTGGATGAATTTTACAAAGACTTAAAAGAATGACAGTTTTCATTTCTTACTTGGTCAGCTATGAAACTCGAATCTTTACTATTCTTTAGTATGTCAGTATCTGATCCCTTACTCCTCCCTAACATTTCTTTGACCCATTCCCAGTTTATCCCTCCCCTGTCCAATATAAAAAGAACAATGTGAATGCAAATCAAGTATAAAGGCTTTAAATAGAATAGCCCTTACTCATAACTTCTCCTTCATAACTCCTCCTTCCTTTCCTGCTCAGGGGAGTCCATGAACACTCTACTGCTGGTCTTAGCTCCTTATGCAAATGTACGTGTGAAATAACATCAATGTCATGATACCATTTAACATGGGCAAAAATTACAAAATTCAAAAAATATTTGCTGAGCACCTACCATATTCTACAGGTTTTGGAAAGCTCCAGATGCAGCCCCTGCCCTCAATGAGCTTACAGTCTAGTGATACCAGCCAGTAAATAAAAAGTTATAATGAAGGCAAAATGGAGTGATGGCCAGGACAACAGACCACGCAGGCATACAAAGGAGATGAATGAGGGATGAAATAAGCCACATTACAACAAAAAACTTCATACCCATTAACCTGAGAAACACTTTCTCCTTTGGTGAAAGGAGAAGTATATCTCTTCTTTGATTTGAAAAGAACTCAAGGTTTACTCCTTAAGAATTTTGCCTTCATTGATTTCATCCTTTTGGTGAAGTATAAGAAATCTATAGTAAATGTGGCAGGCAAATATTGATGATAATGCATTAAGCAAACTGCCAAGGGGAAAGGTTGTTACACTAAGGAATATTTTGCTACTCTTGTTAGGTCTGGTTTCGTCAGAATTATGTATGTAATACCTGATTGCTCTTTTATTTTCATTGCACTGTATGTGTGCTTAATTCTTTCTTAAGAGAAGTAGTTTGGACACAAACTAAAATTATAATTTGAGTTAGTGCAGGTGATATGGTTCCTGCTAGAATGGTTTGGTGGATGTTTGCTATATAGTCATCATGCTTCAGCTAAGAGTTTTGATTCAGCGAGCAAACTGAATTTAGTTGCCAAAAGTTACCTGACATGTAGATTTCTATATTGTTCCACAGTAATGTTAACCCACACCAAAAGGGAAAGATTTCATTTTAAATATATGTGCTTGTGGATGCAACTCACTAGAAATATACACTACACAAATATTAAAGAATATACAGATGGTGGGTAGTAATGCTTTTAAATATTCTTTACAACTATTTGTCTCTTGCTTATTAAGCTTTTCATTCTATCATCTCACACCTTTCTCTAAAGTTTAGCCGCACCTTCATTTCCAGTGATGTGTGTCTTTTGCTGCTCATCCATACTGAGAATTTTCTTCCCTATGCTAGGGCTGTTATCTGCATTTCCCCCAAGGCCATGGCCACAGGTCATCCTTTAAATCATTAGTGAGAAAACGTTGTAAAGGGTCAAATAGTAAGTATTTTAGGCTTTGTGGGCCATATAGTCTGTCACAACTACTCACTCATACTGTTCATTATAGGAAAAGTAACCTAGAAAATATGTAAACAAATGGGCATGGCAGTGTTCAAAAAAACCTTTATTTACTAAAACAGGTGGTGGGCCAGATTTGGCCCAGAGGCCATAGTTTGCCAACCCCTGTGTTTAATCAACCAGAAGCCTTTGTTAAGCAGATCATGTATCCCTAGTCTTGCACTAGGTACTTAAAAGTACATTCCTTTTTTGATTTAAAAAAGAGTTTGAGGCTGCTCTCTCTGCTCTCTCTGTCTCTCTCCCCCTCTGGGGCAGCCACTTTCTCAAAAAATCCTCAACTGCCTATAAAACCCCCTAAACAATCCACCTCTACGGGCTCTCTTGTCCCCTCCTGGCATGAGCCAGGAGCTCTATTCTCTCACTTTATTTCTAAATAAAAGCCTACCTTGCTCTCCTAAAAAAAAAAAAAAAAAAAAAAAAAAAAAATAGTTTAAGGTTCACTTCTCCAATAATCTTGCCTTCATAAATTACATCTCATTGATAACCATTAGCACCATCCCTTCTATCTGCCATGCCTCTTAACAATGTCAGAAACACTTGTGTAATCACTGCTTTTATCTGTGTACATGTTCATGTTAGTCATCTGTTTGTTTGCCTTGTCTCTCCCCACAGACAAGAAGACTCTTGAATGTGGGCATTGTGCCTGATCATTATTACATAGCCCCAACATTTAGTACAACTTCAGGTACCCAGTGCATAAACATCTATTCTTTAAGAACAGATTTCATATTTAAAAGGTAGGAAAAAAGTGAAAGAAGACAAACACCAGCCATTTGTTTAATTTTACTTTAGTTATAAAACAAAGTCTTGATATCGATAATAAGTCATACCTGATGCATTGAAGGTTTTTACTACAGTGATTTTAGTTTTTTCTGCAAAGAAGCAATTTAAATATTAGAGCAGAATTGTTGCTTGTTTTTAAAAAACAATTTGCCATGAGTATCATTTTAGTGAAGTGCTCAGAAAATTATACTGTGACACTTCAAGAGTATTGGTCATCTCAGCAACAGAATGAATGGGAATCGCACGTGCAGATCGTATGGCACTGGCAATAGGGTGAGTCTGGGATTTGTATTTCCATGTTTACCCAGCTAGACCACGCCCATTACACACCCACTGCTTGTGAAATTCTCCTGCAGTTTCCATGCACTGCTGCTAGACAAAGTAACAAGGACTTACACTTCAGATATGTAGAATTAAGTCACTATCAGGACGAACCTTCAGGTGATAGGTTGTAAAAAGCAGGTGATCCAGAATAAAGTTAACAGAAACAGTAAACACAGGATCTAAAATATGACTACTATACTCTATAATCAAGGAAGTTTCCTGCCCTTTTCCTTAGGAGTTGATACAATATTATCCCCATTGTATTGACAGGTAAAATTATTCTCAGAGAGGTGGAGGCTCTTCAACTATAGTCATACAAGCTCAAAGCAGAACCAGGACTAACTGTTCAAAGTCAATGACTCACAGGCAAATATTAACATAATCTGAAGAAGCAAGCCTTAGAAATATCTTCTCAACACACTTCTGGAACAGAGCCCATGGTTCATTTCCCAGGTAATGGAGAACCAGGTTCAGAAATCCTTGTGTAAGGATGGCCAATTAGAAGAGGCTGTGTTCAAGACACAGATTGGCAAAGGTCTGTCTCCTAGGGTGAGGTGACAAATTCTGAAGAAAACATAAAGCCCAAATCTTGGAAAAGCACTTAATAATGATGCTATATGATAGTTTTAGAAACCCCAGTAATGTATATGTTATTGATGAGTTTCTGTTTCAGTGTGTGACTCAACCATAGGCAATGACTGGTGGTTAATTACAGAGGCTGATAGCATTTTGCATTCATTAAGAATCCTTTAAATATATTATTTTGTTTGCCCTGATACTTCCCAGAGCTAACAAAATACAACTGTGACATGAATTTCTGGTTCTAGTAACAAAAGTGCTTTTGGGAAAAATGTTCAACCTAACTTATCAGCAAGAATATAAAATAGAACCTAAGACTTGGTGAAGGGGGGAGCCTAGTGAACATAATGTCCTTCATGTAATGGTAGATTAATGATACAAAAAAAAAAATAGAACCTAAGGAACTGAGAAAAAGATATAATAATATATGTTATAGTCTCAGCTCTCAGCAAAGGTAGTGACACAGACATTCTCATGCACTGCTGGCAGGAATGTTGCTGGGTACAACCTTTCTAGAAGGTAATTGGGAAGTAGATATCAAGAGCCTTAAAATATTCATAATGCTAATGCACTGAGTCCAATCCTTGGAGTGCATCTTACAGAAATCAGGGATGAATGGAAGATATTGGCACAAAGATGTTCATTACAACAATTTCTATTAAAAAAGTATGTATAAACAACTTTAATAATGTTCAATATAACACAACGGAGTATTATCAAGTCATTAACAGTAAGGGACACTGGAAAATACTTATAATTTAATATAAAGTTAAAGGGGTGAGATACAAAAATCTATAAACTATGACTATTTTGTAAAAGATATATATTACAGTATGTATATATATATGATACTGAATGGAAATATAACATTATTAACAAAGTCTTAGGAAAGTTACATTAAAGATTATTTCTAATTTCTTTATATTTTTCTATGTTCTCCATTTTTTATGAGCTAAGGTGTATTACTATTATAATTGTTTAAATAATGTTATTTTAAATGGAGTGCTATGGCCATAAGCAGTTTGGAAATTCAAGAGTGTGGTGACACCAAAATTATAGTTAAATGTCCAAGTAAAATGAGTAATAAATCAACAGTTAAAGGCACAGGAAGTGGGCAAGGAGATAACCTATACTAACCCAGAAGACCAATCACACAAATGAGAAGCTCAAGAAGGGACAGAAGATAAGCTATTATATTTGGAAATAACTTGATATTACCTGTTTTGTTTAAAGTAGATAATACGTTTGAAGTAGCATCTGAAATAAAATAATAAAAATTAGCCTAACTATTGGCATGATTAACAAACACAATAATCTTCCTAGGTTCCTTAAACATTTCACTTTTCCCAAAATCCCAGAGAAGCAGAGTTTTGCAAAAGCCAACTGACACTATCAAACATATTTGCTGCCCACTCCCTCACCACACTATCCATTCTCTAACCCCCAGAGATAATTCCTAAGCAAGTACTCATTCATTCAAAATGTGTTTCCTGAACACAAGTTATATGTCTAAAACACGGCAACACTCCCATAATTATTAAATTTAAATAAACCCATTTATGTGGTTTAACATTTTGTCCCTTTTTTTCTCTATTATAATTAAAGTCCCTAACAGATATGATATTATCACAGTTAATACTAACTTTAATATATAACCCTGTGGATGCTTATACATCTTTACCTAATAGTACACTCTTAAAGCAATTTTTAAGTAACTCTAATTTAAATTTGGAGTTCTTAAACATTCAACTATTAGGAAAATCTGATTTTGATCTTGTTTCATTTAAAATATCCAATTTAAAATGTATTCTATTGGTAAACCTCTAAATGAAAATTACTCTAGAAATTATTATTCGGATGAAACTTTAGGGGGAAAAAAGGCATGCATTATCATACTTTTTTAAAACCCCACATAAAATATGATACAAAAATAACTGCCAAAACTATTTTGAAGATGTTCTGTCACTTTAAAATGTAACTGCATATAAAAATGATAATGTCTGGCCCTTCCCATTGGACCAAATATGAAATTAAGCCAGTTTAGATCACTGTGAGGTACATCTATGATTGTTTAGCTCCTTCACCACTGAAAAATAGCACTTTATTTTAACTAAAGGGACTGTAAAAAGTGTTGAGTTTTGACTGCAATAAGATAGAAGGCTGTCTACCCATGTTGGGGAGGGAACAGAATGTGCTGCCCTGCCCACCTCCCTCAAATATAGTCCAGTTATTCACCCTTTTCTCTAGCATGAAGAAGATGCCAGCTTTTTTCCATTTCATACGATTTAAAAATTGATAGAAATCATCTGTAAAAAGGCTGTCTCTGAACACTCTGTGCCTCCCAATCCATGCTGAATCATATTGAAGTCACTGGATGTGCTTTTCACATTTAAGCAATTTGTCCCATAAAATGGATTGGCACTGTGTTGGACAGCAAGTAATACAGGGTAGTCAAAATGTGGTCAGTCTGTCCTGTCTTTCCCAGAACAGAGTGGTGGAGGACTGTTCTCTCCATGTGAATAACAATTTTATCAGTTAGCCAGAAAGTTCAGGTCTCCCTTTCAGGGTTGACACTTGTGGGGGTGTTTTTTTGTTATTTTGATTTTTTATTATTTCAATATGGAAACCTTCAACACCATTCATCGTACTTATGTTCATATTAAGGGCTATCAATTTTTACTTGCTTCAGAAAAACTCTTACCATTTAGGCTTGTTGTTTCAACCTCTTTTGTCCCAAGGAAAAAAAAACAATACAAAATATAATTAAATCAAAAACTTAAAAAACAAATTGGGCTTTAATTTTTTCAAAATCTTGCCTGGAGTACCAGTGAAGTAGGGGACAAAACGAATAAGAGGTGATTCAGCTGCAGGAGAAAAAAAAAAACAAAATTTTCAAATTAATACTCTGAAACAGTTATTGACTGAATTTTAGGGAGCTATAACTTTTGAGATATAATTATGGAAAGAATCAGAAAACACGCTATCAGACAGTATGTAGTTAAGTCTGCAGGTCCCATAATCACTCAGTGAGTAGACATTTAATCAGAGAATTGTAGAGAAAGAACCCAAGAGATGAAATGACTATCTCATTTTATTGATGAAGAACCTGAGTCTCAAGACCTGCACCTACCTATGGACTATTATGGAAATAAGTTTAGGAACCACAACAAAATATGAAAAATAGCACTTTCAAAATTCTTCAGCTGGACAGTTTTAGAAAACACTCTATCCTTTAATTTGCTGACCTACAATTATGAAACATATTGGCACATTGGCTCCACTCAGTTGTAATGGTGCCTGGCAACTCTTCCCATAGTGAATTTAGGGTTTAAAAAAAAACAACATTGCTATCACTCAGTACTGAACTACCTAACACAATTTCCTGGTAAGTTATTTTAAAATAAGGCTGCCATTAAGACAATCAATCAAGTTATAAATTTCCCGGGGAGTAATTCCACTTAAGCTAAGAGGTTAGTCTACTATGCACATTTTGCATGTTTAAATATTAAAAGGATCCAATGGCTTGACCTCTGTGTATACACAGGAAAAGTAAACACAAACATTTTACAACTACACCAAGCTTTGCAGTAAGAAGCCTGCTCTTCAGCCAGTAAGGACAACATCTGGGTGTGTCAAGCCGCTTGGCTGGCCTGGCTGTTTTAGACCACTCATGCGTTGGCTGAAACACACACACCCTGTCTGTCCTACATTACTGCTTCCATGTTTTGTCACTTACTACATTATAAAAAAATTACCAAGGATATTTCTTGAGAAGTAAGGCAGTTACTGAGCAGTAAGATTCAAAGTGTGGATGTAGAATCCCTTCCTCTTGAGGCAGAACAAAATAAATGGCCAAAGCTGGGTTTTGCCTATTAATTCTTCTGAATGTTGATGACTGGTGATGCCGTCCAAAGAGGTATGTAGGCATAGCTGTCTGTTCATCCCTGGATGTACACTGGCTCTTACTTCCCAGTTAGTGCAGCTCTCCCCCAGGACACCCAGAACCCAGCTGTGACTGGAATCAGTGTGTGCCTCCCAAACCACATACCCCATCCCATGCAAACAGGATTTTGTAAAGATATCACCATGGTTAAGTTTGATGAAGGCTGTTGTACCAGAAGAAAAATACAGTGGTTCATTTTACCCTAGGAGGTTAATAATAAGGTGGCAAATTGGCACAGTAAAAAGAGTGTGGGTTTTGGAGACTTGTAATCCTGGGTTCAAATCTTTGCCCATTACTTAATAACTCATAAGAATGACAGTTATTACTTATTGAGGATTTACTCTGTGCCAGGCATGTGTTATCTCATTTTATCTTTACAACCACCCTATGAAACAGGTACTGTTATTCCCCCCATTTACAGATGAAGAAACTGAGGCACAGAAAGGTGAAGGAACTTGCCCACAGTCACACAGCTAGCAATAGGCGTGGGAGGGTGGTGGCCAAATTCAAACCCAAGTGGTCTGGCTCCAGAGAATGTGTGAACATGAGCAAGTTTTATCCTCTCTGATCTTGTTTCTTCAACTATAACATGAATATAATGATTCCTGTGCTGTAAGATTGAAAATAGAATGAGATGTCTGAAGATTCTCAGGCATGTAGTATGTACATGAGAACTAACAGCTATTATCATTCATTTTATTTCAATGAATTCATAACATTAGAAGCTCATATTCACACAACTAAGCATAGAATGTGAGTTGGCTTACTCCTTACCGTAAAAGATTGTTTTGTAATATATGGTATACCAGAAAGAATATAGAAGTAGGAGGCAGAGAAGCCACATGCTGCCTCTGTGTTATGGGGAGCAACAAACTGTGTGACCTTAGATAAGTCAGTCACTCAGCCATTCCAGGAGTCACTGTCTCATCAGCTAAGGGATGGGGCTGCACCACTTTATCTCTGAGGTTGCAGTTCCCTCTAGCAGTTTCGGAAGCGGGTTTTAGTTTATTTGCCTTCCCATTCTCTTGAGTGCTAAGCCCTTAGAAGCCTTCTGAAAATATTCATTCATTGGGGTACTGAGGAAGTATATATATCTCATCCCATGGATGTAAGACCATTCAGCACATTTATGTTCTTCATACTCTTCAGGAGACTTGGGAACTACAATACTAAAAATAGTAGTGAAGAACTTATAATCAGTGACTGTAACAAAAACCCACAATTTATTCCCCAACTTTGTCCAGCAATATGGGCAGATCAATACGCCTGTCTGTCCTCTTATCTATGTTTCCTATTGATTTTTTAAATGTAGGTTTAATAATGAATTTAACTAGGCTTCATGGAAGAAAACAGTTTTGCTGTAACTGACTGCATGCCATATTGCTTGGAGAACTCTTAGCATATTTTCCTGAAATTCCCCAAAGTCATGAAATAACAGTCTTACCAGATGGTGATAACAAACTGGAATTATCAGCATTCTCTGTTGAAGAAAAAGATGATTTAAAATTAATTTATGTTGTGCATGAATTTGTAGATTAGCGTCTTCAATGGGAGTGAATGTGAAATGTTAGAATAGCTACCAAAAGAGGGCAGTATGTTAATTTACTATTATTTTCAACAGCCTAATCAGTACTTTTCAATTCTCTACAAAGACATATCTCTGGTGAAGCAATTCTTCCAATTTAACTGTTGACAGTACTCTATATATTTTGTTATATATGGTTTAGTACATCTTAAACTAAAAATGATGACTAAGAACTTTAGTTGTTAGCTAATATTCATTAGAATTTGTAAATGTATATGTCTGCATAAATTAAACTTTCATTAACTGTGCTTCTTATACCTTTTAGCACAGACTTTATACCTATTAAGCCACTTCTTTATTATGACTTAAAACTAGATTACATGCCTCTGGGTGTATAAGCTATAAGAACTGCTGTGTTATTTATTTGGGGAAGATGCTCAGATTCCTTAAAAGAAAAGCAATTCTATTTTTTCCTCCATAAGAATTATACCCAGCTATTGGAGAAACTTCAGAAATTACAGATAAACAAAACAAAGAAATTTAAAACTACCTATGACTTTACCACCCAGAGATAAAATGACATTAACATTTTGGCATATATTCTTTCCTGTCTCTTTCTCTATGTATAAGTACACAGACATATGAATATGTGTGTACATGTATTTATATGATGATAAGAAAGACCATATCACTTATACTACTTATAACCTGATTTTTCTCATGACAGTATATCCTAAACATTGTTGTATATCATTAAACAACTTTCAATAATACCATTTGTGATAACTGTATAGCATTTCACTGATTGGATGTACCTTTAATTTATATAACAAATTTCCTTTTAATGGGCATTTTGGTGTATACAGTTCTGCACAGTTAATAAACAACTACAATAAATCCTTTTGGCTAAATTTTTGCATACATATTTCCTTCAGGAATTCCATGAATTTTGGTTGCCAAAATGCCCTACAGAAAATGAACCAATTTATACTATCCTTTGCAGTGCATGAGAGTGTCATTTCCCCAAACTTTGATCCAGATGGGTGTTATCTTAAAAAAAATTTTTTTTAATTACAAAGGAATGGTTATTACCATAGTGGTATCTTGAGATACAATTAAAAGTTTAGAATAAGTGTTTTTGGAAACTAAAACTGCACAGTGCAACATACCTGGTAGCCCCCGGGAGCCTATTTCCTGAAATGGTGATAAGGTACTGATTATTTTCTGGGATAATTAAAACAGAATTCTGCTTGAAAGCTGGACTGGATGAGTGCTCAAGCTCTGAATGACCCTGCAGCCAAGAAGACAAACTTTGATGCTCTAATTTAATTGGAGTTGCCTCTTCTTGGTCTCCATTCTTCTATATATCCCTCAGGCTACTTTAATACTCCACCAAACAAAGAGTCTGTTGCATTATTCTTGGGAGCATTATGGGTAAGTCAGTCATTCACACTTTAGTATGAATTAATCCCAATGGACTAAATTCTGATCTTGTAGCGGAAACCTACCATACCAGTCCATGTTGAAAAGTACTGGGAAAAATCAACGTTCAATACGGGCTATTCTGAGAATGATATCAGTGTGGGCAGGTGAGGTGGAATGGGACAGGAATGTGGCACAGGCAGAGAAATGCAAAAAGGCACTAAGGAAGAGCTGGATACCAGGGAAGAGGGAGAGTGATACTGAAGGGTAACAGAGGCCAATACTGCCTCCTTTACAATTTTGCTCAGTGGCTGACCATAGTCACCAATGGTTTCAACCTTCTTCTCTGCTAAATCCTTTGAACAGAGCTGTATACCCACAGGGAAGGGAGCTGACTTTAGTTTTACCTCTTTCTTAGACATTAGAAGAAATGGACAACTCAAGAGTAATAGAAGAGCCAGAGTACAGAAGGAAGTGTCCTGGTCAGCCATTTCAGGGTAGACAAGTTTGATAGACATGGACTTACAATTAAGAGGTAAAACCTAATCAAAATGCAAACCAAGGGCTAGACCAGCCCAGCTCACAGGCAGAGCTGGTCTCTTTCATCATGGAGCCTACAGTGCTCACAGCAGAGATTTGATTGATGAAGGTAGAGAATCTGATAAATAAGCTCTAGAGTTTTTTTTGTTATTTTCTACTTTTTCTCTTTTGGCATTTTTTTTTTCTTCTAGGGGCCTGATTGTTCAGTAACTAAATTTTATTTGCATTTACTGTCTCTCTTTATGATGCTCCACATCACTCCTCCTGGTCCACCATGGAGACATCCCCATAGGCCTTACATTTTCCTGAGTATCAGCCTGTTTCTCTTAGGGTCCCTCCTCACTCATTTCCCATTTGTTACAACCAAAGAGGTGGTTGTCACTTCCAGTGAGTCATTTATTTGAGCTCCAGGCCACTCTCAGGAGACAAAACATTTCCATTGTTAAAAAAGATGCACAATCCAAGAACCAAGATGGCGGCATGAGTAGAGTAGCAGAAATCTCCTCCCAAAACCATATATATTTTTGAAAATACAACAAATACAACTATTCCTAAAAGAGAGACCAGAAGACACAGGACAACAGCCAGACTACATCTACACCTGCGAGAACCCAGCGCCTCACGAAGGGGGTAAGATATAAGCCGCGGCCCGGCGGGACCTGAGTGCCCCTCACCCCAGCTCCCGGTGGGAGGAGAGGAGTTGGAGAGGGGAGGGAGAGGGAGCCCAGGACTACTAAACACCCAGCCCTAGCCATCCACACTGGAGTGCAGACACACAGTGTGTGCATGGGGTGCTGGAAACTAGGGAAACAGGACAGTAAGACCTGTGAGTGGGTCCCCGCAGCTGGCGCACCTGGGACAAAGAAAAGTGAGTGCTTTTTGAAAGTCTTAAAGGAACAGGGACTCCACAGCTGGATGGAAGCATCCTGGGACACTTAGCCCAGCAGCTGGGAATCCCAGGGAACCCTGGGTGCCCTAACCCCCTGGGCGGCAGCGCAGCCCAGAGGTTCCTCACGGCGATAAACAGCCTCCCGCCCATTCCCCCTCTGACGCGGCTCCACCATATTGGAGAAGCAGCCTGAGGCTGGCCATGCCCACAGCAACCGCGGAGCTCCACAGCAGCTGGGCAAGAATTAGAAACCCTGCCTGCACACAGCTACCCAGCACAAGCCGCTAAGGGTCGCTGTTCTCCCAGGAGAGGAAGGCCACAAACCAGCAAGAAGGACTTTCTCTTAGCCAACACATGCGCCAGCTCCCCACGAATACCTCTATCGCCATGAAAAGGCAGAGGAATTCGATACACACCAAGATCACAGAGGCAAACCCTGAGAAGGAGATAGACCTAACCAATCTCCCTGAAAAAGAATTAAAAATAAAGCTCATAACCATGCTGATGGAGCTGCAGAGAAATATGTAAGAGCTAAGGGATGATGTCCAGAAGGAGATTACAGAAATGAAACAATCTCTGGAAGGATTTATAAGCAGAATGGATAAGATGCAAGAGGCCATTGATGGAATAGAAACCAGAGAACAGGAACACATAGAAGCTGACGCAGAGAGATATAAAAGGATCTCCAGGAATGAAACAATATTAAGAGAACTGTGACCAATCCAAAAGGAACAATATCCGCATTATAGGGGTACCAGAAGAAGAGAGAGAAAAAGGGATAGAAAGTGTATTTGAAGAAATAATTGCTGAAAACTTCCCCAAACTGGGGGAGGAAATAATCGATCAGACCATGGAAGTACACAGAACTCCCAACAGAAGGGACCCAAGGAGGACAACACCAAGACACATAATAAATAAAATGGCAAAGATCAAGGACAAGGACAGAGTTTTAAAGGCAGCTAGAGAGAGGAAAAAGGTCACCTACAAAGGAAAACTCATCAGGCTATCAGCAGACTTCTCAACAGAAACCTTACAGGCCAGAAGAGAATGGCATGATATATTTAATGCAATGAAACAGAAGGGCCTTGAACCAAGAATACTTTATCCAGCACGATTATCATTTAAATATGAAGAAGGGATTAAACAATTCTCAGACAAGCAAAAGTTGAGGGAATTTGCCTCCCACAAACCACCTCTACAGGGTATTTTAGAGGGACTGCTCTAGATGAGAGCACTCCTAAGACTAAATAGATGTCACCAGAGAAAATAAAATCACAGCAAAGAAAACAGACCAACCAAATACTAACTAAAGGCAAAAAATAAAATCAACTACCCACAAAAGCAGTTAAAGGAAACACAAAAGAGCACAGAATAAAACAACCAACATATAAAGAACGGAGGAGGAGGAATAAGAAGGGAGAAAAATAAAGAATCACCAGACAGTATTTAAAATAGCTCAATAAGCGAGTTAAGTTAGACAGTAAGATACTAACGAAGCTAACCTTGAACCTTTGGTAACCACAAATCTAAAGCCTGCAATGGCAATAAGTACATATCTCTCAATAATCACCCTAAACGTAAATGGACTGAATGCACCAATCAAAAGACACAGAGTAATAGAATGGATAAAAAAGCAAGCCCCATCTCTATGCTGCTTACAAGAGACTCACCTCCAACCCAAAGACATGCACAGACTAAAAGCCAAGGGATGGAAAAACATATTTCATGCAAACAACAGGGAGAAAAAAGCAGGTGTTGCAGTAGTATCAGACAAAATAGACCTCAAAACAAAGAAAGTAACAAAAGATAAAGGACATTACATAATGATAAAGGGCTCAGTCCAACAAGAGGATATAACCATTATAAATATATATGCACCCAACACAGGAGCACCAGCATATGTGAAACAGATACTAACAGAACTAAAGGAGGAAAGAGAATGCAATGCATTCATTTTAGGAGACTTCAACATGCCACTCACTCCAAAGGATAGATCCACTGGACAGAAAATAAGTAAGGACACAGAGGCACTGAACAACACACTAGAACAGATGGACCTAATAGACATACATAGAACTCTACATCCAAAAGCCATTATTTACAA